GATGCCGCTCAACGAGAGTAAGTTACTGGCTCCTAGTTTTCATAGAGAGGGCCTTCTCAACACGTATGTACATTTTCCACATATGGATATAAAGATGTGCCCGATCCCCTGCGCATGGCCACGCTGATCTGGTTCCTAGAGACTTCTGACGACAAGCCCAAGGAAGCCGAGCCAAATCGGCCCGTTTTCGCCCTCGTCCTTCCGTTCTTCGGCATTTGAGGTCGAAGTGGACTCGGCGGACGACTGGAGACGCATGCAAGGGCTCTGATTGATAAGAAGAAGATTTTTTCTCCCGACCCTCTTCCCCCTCTCTTTCAAGTTGTCGCAACCATCCCTCTCCATTGAACTAGACTGAACCAGGTTAAGAGAAGGAGTTCTCGAGACCGATCATTAACGGTTCTGGTTGGTGCATGACGAGTCTATGACACATTTCACACCGGGGATTGGCTGGGATATCCGAAACGGGAAAAGTGGGATCAGATAAGATCAGGCGACGGAGGGAAAACTCCTGCCGAGGTCGTTTTCAACTCTCCTTGCACGTTCCAAGGGTGACCTTGCGAGCTTCATGACTAACAGTATCCTCATCAGTCCCCATTTCCCCTCTGGCTAATCAATCCGCACTTCAGCGATGGAGTAACCTGGCCCGAACTGTTTCCGGCCCAAGCTCGGCTCCTGCGCCGAAGTTCAGCGTTCTTATGTGTCAGACCTCGTTGCACCAAATGGCGAGCAGGGGATTTGGTTTTGCCCCCTGCCATCTGCTAAAACGCTTGGCAAGCAGAAAGGATTGTCTCTTTCCCCATCCCGGATGTCCGCGCTCATCGCGGATAAAACTCTAGCAGAATCCATTGACCAACAGGATCGTAACCCAGAGGGAAGAAAAAAGGACTCATGTACCCACACGGGTGGTCTTGGGAAGAGAAGGAAAATTTCTCTCTTTACCATGGGTAGTGAACGAGTCATGGAAATCATGACTCTTTCACTGAGGCATACTGTGCAGTACACAGTAGCGTCTCCGGTCTGAGAATGGAACTAGTCGTAGTAGACAGAGTAGAAGAACATAACTCATCTTTTAGCTCCTCGATGACGCTTCTACCAATCGTGACCGCAAATTCTAAGATCCAGGGTGTTTCTTCATCAGCCCTACTGAGAGAAAATCGATGCTAGGCTCAGCATGATACGAGCTGGATGGAGGGCTGGAGGCTGGAGCATACCCTAAACCCCAAGTTCGAACCGGCCGGCAGGGAATTATTGATTGATAACCCGCAGTCTACCACGGGACGGACGAATGAGGGCGGGCAACGAGTGGGGATTCCACTGGAATCTCCGAAGTCGGTGAACGCGCACGATAATCTAATCTGATCCGATCATTCATTTTTCCCTCTCTGTTTCCCCCCTCCTTCTTTCCTTTCCCTTCCTCCATTTCTTCTCAGCTTCTTCTTCCTCGGTCGCTTTTGGTGTCTGTCTTCCGTCCTACTCCTCCTCCTCCTCCTTCTTGTTCTCCTCACCCTAAGCCTACTTGCTTCGTTTTCCTTCCACTCCTTCCCTGCCATACTCATTCTGCTGTCAATCTATCTATACAGGGTCAATCGCCGTCCCATCCTCTCCAATTCATCGGGTTGCAGCCAGCAACTCCGTTGTCTCGCTTACCGGCTGAGGGGGCGCACTTCCGCTCTTCCGGCCGATGCGATCCAGTGACACCACCACTACTACTACTACCACCACCACCACCACCGCCTTTCGTTCTGCCGGTTAGCCCGCCCGCCTTTCTTCCATTCTTCTCCGAACACCTCCTCACCAGTTAACTGAACCACCCAAACCACCCATCCAAATCACCCATCCCCATCTCCACCTCCCACCTCGGACCACCATTCCCGTCTTCACCCATGATATGTCCACTGATCATACTGCAGGCTTCCTCTAAATCACTAGAGGATTTTTCATTACCATGGCCAGTCCGATTGCTCTCTCGATAGCCCCTGGTCCGGGTCCAGCGCCGCTGGCTCCCGCACTGGCTGCCAAGCCAGCCATCTCACCGTCTCCTGGTCCGGGCACACCCGGCTCCGTCACCTCCAAGGAATGGGTGATTCCTCCTCGCCCCAAACCTGGTCGCAAGCCAGCCACAGATACTCCTCCCACCAAACGCAAGGCCCAGAATCGAGCCGCCCAGAGAGCGTTCCGCGAACGTCGAGCCGCCCGCGTCAACGAGCTCGAGGATCAGATCAAGAAAATCGAAGATGAGCACGAGATACATATCGCTGCCTTCAAGGACCAGATTGCAAGCCTCTCCAGCGATGTCGAGCAATGTCGAAATGAGATGGCTTGGTGGCGCGACCGATGCCATGCCTTGGAGAAGGAAGTTTCTGTCGAACGGAGTGCGAAGGAGACCCTGGTACGAGAGTTCCGGACAACTCTCACCGACAAGAGCTCCGACAAGGCTCCTCTGACCCGAATCGCTGCGAGAAACCCGACCGAAGACCGAGCGGCCAGTGATCGCGGGTTGCCGACCGGCAGATCTACCGCCGTGGTGGAAGAATCACGGGAGGAGGTTCCGTTGGGCTGTGGAGATTGCTCCTCTGTCCACTGTCAGTGTATTGAAGATGCGTTTGCCATTCCGGGAGTCGAGACTCGGTCTTCGCTGGGCAAGCGGCCGGGCAGTCCTAGTCTGACACGACCCGAACCCGAGATCAAACCGGAGCCCGAGGAGATGGAGATTGACTTCACCACGCGGTTCGCCGCACCGCACACTATTCAAGACGACCATAGCACTTCCGTCTCGTCGCCAGCTGTAGACCCCTGCGGGTTCTGCCAGGACGGAACACCCTGTATCTGCGCCGAGATGGCGGCCCAGGAGGAAGAGCGTCGGAGGAGCTCATTTGAGAACAATCGGCTGGCGCCCATTCAGAACCTGTCTCAATTCACACCACCCCCATCAGAAGGCGACGTTCGGTCCGACGTCACGTTACCTCCAATCAGCCAAGCCACAAATCCGTGTGCCAATGGACCGGGAACATGCGCTCAATGTCAGTCCGATCCACGCCGGACCCTTTTTTGCAAGACGCTGGCGGCCTCCCGCTCCGCCAGCGCTGCCTCCTCCGGTTGCTGCGGCGGTAAGGGCGCCGATGGCGGGTGCTGCATGTCTCGCGGTGGCAACCCTCCCCAGCCCGCTGCCGGTTCGCGTCGCTCCAACACTCCCTCGCTAACCCTCTCCTGTGCCGATGCCTTTACCACCCTCTCCCGGCACCCCAATTTCTCTCGAGCAAGTGACGACATCTCCGCCTGGCTTCCCAAACTCCACACCCTCCCCAAACCCCAGGAGGTAGCTCCGCCCGGCTCCCGAGCGGCCCTGGAAGTCGAGGCTGCCAGCGTCATGGGCGTCTTGCGATACTTTGATCGACGGTTCGCCGATAAATAGATGACGGACGAACCTTCTCTCTTCCCTTGTCTGCACTTGTCTTTTATTCTTAGTGATACCCAACACCCGATTCATGAACGTTTGAGTTTGTATTATACAAGACTATACACTCCTGAACCCCATCCCCCCTCTATGTCTCCCTCCATCCTTCTCCCTAACCAATCTCTCCCCGTGGTGTCTCCCTTCCCTCCCACTTCATCCCCGCCAGTCTACATCTTTAATGTAACTCATTCAACCCATGACTCTTCACTTCTTATGAACGGGTACACTTTTCCTCTCCTCCTTTCCTCCTCCTTCTTACCCCCAGTTATCACCCCCCTTTTACGGGTCTTCCTGCCAAATCGACCCCATCATCCTTCCCGTTCCTCTTCCCAGTCTCCCCCCCACCCCACGACTGGAACTGAAATCCGATCTCAAAAGCAAAAGTCAATCTACCTGCAACCATAACTCCTGGAATTTACGATGTGCTATACAATGCTAGGCTAGGCTAGGCTAGGCTATGATTCGCTCACGAACCCCGCCAAAAAAAAACCAACCAAAACAAAACAAAAATCTTCCACGCAACCACGTGGTGTTTCCTCAACGCGTGGTCAAAGCCAAAGTGTCTAATGAGTCTAGATGGTTTGAAATGAAATGAACTGGCGTTTTTATGTTGTTATCGGCTGAGGTGTTCATGTCTATACGTATGTGTATGACTGTCAAGTTATGTGTTGCTCGTCTCTGCCGGGCGTGTGCTTGCTCCGCTCCGCTCCGCTCTGGATTCGGATAGATAAGATAATCTGGAAAGCGTGCTTGGGCTATGTACATGTCCAAGGTTCAATGGATGTCTTTTTTCCGATCACTCAGCAGGGTGCACGTGTCACGGTTCAAGCCTAGAGTTCATTTATAGCTTTGGGCAATGAATGGGGGATTCATCATGTAATCATGCGCCTTGCTTGACTATATCTATACTAGATCCCACACCGCCCAACCTGAAGAAAACCCAACGCCGTCCGTCCTTACTCCGAGTTTTCATTCCGCTACATTAAAGACAGGAGACAAGTTGACAGAAAGAAAGAAAGAAAGCCCGATCCGAGAAACAAGTGATGGAGAGATAAAAATACATTCCGTTGCGGCGTTAGATAGGATACTGAGGTTAAAAAGTACACAAGACATCATTCCACTGGTAGATGAAGGAAGGAGCGGAGGGTAGGAGAGTCGGAAGAGGGGAAGGAGAAGTTGAGATGGTATAATAAAGAAAAAGGTGGTCAAGGATGGTGTGCAGGGAGAAGAGAATCGTCGTTAAGGTGTTTTTACAGATCGTCGCCCTAATGCATGAGCGATGATGTGGGGTTGGGGGTCATTGACTTCTTTTGCTTCACCCAGAAGAACTCATATCGAGATGAAGTTGCTGGAAGTTCGTCGAGATGTTGGCTAGCTTGGCTTAGCTGAAGTATTGCGACTCTGCTTCGTCGTCCTCATGCCCTGCAGTATTCTGATGGGTTTCAGCCCACGATGTGGGATTATCGGCCGAGTTAGTGCACGTGCTTTGAAGGGCTTTGGCTTTGCTCTTGGCATCTGACGATGCTAGGTTGGTTATGCGGGTGGTTTAGAATCGACCTCCGCTCATCCTAGCATCGTCGTCGCCGGCCACGCCGACCGTGCCAAGTAGGTTGGCGCCCCAGATACCAGCGATTCCCCACATGCCGATGCGCCAGCCTCGGTAGAGACCTTGGATTCCCTGGCCCTGCCGTTTGCGCTGAGTGACGGGCTTCTTGAGCAGCTGGCGCGCCCGCTCAACTTCCGGCGTGGCTTGCACTCCCTCCTCGTAGACAATTCCCCACATAGTGCCCACAATACCCCGGTAGGTCTGGGGGGTCGGGACGATGGTCTCGATTGCCGAGGTCTGTTCCTCGTCCGCGGAGGTTTCAGCGCGCACTGAACGACTTGATTGCTGGCGGATGCTGGGGGAAGTGAATGTTGCAATTTGGGCGCGGCGGAGTACAGTCTCGAGCGGGAACCGGACCGCCAATTCTAGACCGGAGCTCAGGAAGGTGAACAGGCTCCAGATGGACGGATTGAGCACGGGGTCGAGAGACAGATACGATTTGAGAATTAATGGAGTCGTGTTGGTGATGAAGTTCGGCAGACTGGAGTGGAGGACGGTGATGGGCACCAGGTGAGACGGAATGGTGCAGTTGGGAGTCGGGATTTGGCGGATAGCTCGTAGCAGGGAGCGCGGGCCATGCGTAGCCGGCGTCAAGATAAGGAACGTTCGCGCGGTATCAATCGGGGAGAGGAGCATTGCCGACAATGAGGAGGAGATGAAGGACAAGAGTAGCGTCGCCACCGGGGAAGTCGACGTCAGGATGTCGGCTGTCATCGAGGAAGTCACATCCTCCTCCGGCAAGCCGACAATTGCGGAGAGCAAGCTGCGGATGAATGTATTCAGGGTGGGCAGGAGAAGGGAGTAGATGAAGGTGGCATTGGTCGCCTTCCAGGGCGAGGTCGGGCCACTGGTAGTCCACAGTTGCGAAAGGACATCCATGAGCGAGCTCGGGTTCTTAATAGCGAGGGCATGTCTTGATGAGGTCGTGGAGGGAATGTAGCCGCTTCGATCGGTGATATGGCGACGGTGAGGCTTGCGAGATCGGGGCGCTGAGGGGGAGGCTGCGCCAGGTGCTGCGGAAGTAAAATAACTGCTTTCGTCATCCGACGACAAGGAGTCCTAGAGCTTGAAGGTGAGCTTCCAATTCTTGGGAAAGAGCTGCTGGAACATACGTCTTCATCGTAGGAATCAATACGGCTTTCGGGACCCGATGCTCGGCGATCATGCATAGCCCGTGGGCCGTCTGTCGCATCGCCGGGCGCAACATAGGCCTGCAGGATGGTTTTGGCGACATCGAACGGCTGTGAGGTCAGGACACTGGTGTAGCGCCAGAGAGCTTGGTCCAGGGCATCCCGAATCCAACTGGAGACTGAGGGAGAGCTTTCGAGGTAGTCGGAATAATCGATATCGGGCAGTAGATCGCGTGCGGAACCGCCAAAGACTTGGGTGGCCGAGGATGACGCATCTGGAGGGGAAGCAGCATGGCCGGTGTCCAACCCCAAAGATGGGGGGAAATAATAGGGGCGGAGGGGATTGGGCCCTTCCAGAGGAGAGGACATGTTAGTTGTAAAGGGGAGCTAGAAGATGAATAGAGAAGGAAAAGGGTGAAAAAGAAAGAGGCGTTTTTTGGGGAGGGGGGAGGGGGGAAGAAGAGAAGGAAATGGATGGAGAGAGGGAGAGGATGTGTGCGTGGTGCGTGGTGCGTGGAGGAGTATAGATAGGATAGTAAGTTAGTGAGTGAAGAGGAAAGAAAGTAAGGTAAAGTCGGTTTGGAAGCCGAACCTCCAGCTCAAAGAGGCAAAGCCGGCGAATGACAAGCCGCGGATTTCCCGCTGGTGTTTTTCGGGGTTTTCCACTTTTCCTCCATTCTCCGCCATTGTTGAATTCAATTCAATTCGATTCATTCGATTTCGTTGGATTCATTGATTCATTCATTCAGCTGCCTTGAATCTATCTTTCGCCCCTCTCCACTCCTCTATCTTCCTTCTAATTCTTCTTATACCCCCACCCTTCATCACACAATCATTCGCTATGTCCTTCTTGAGAGAAGCCGGACTTAACCTGCGCCATGTTCTGCCTCGGGCTGGCGAGAGCGTTGTTCGCGCTCCCTCTTCACAGTTCCTTGCCAACCGATTCCCCCTCCAGTCCTCGCGATCAATGAGCTCTGGCTGTGCTTCCCTGTCGTCCCGGCGATCTCCAGTGACCCCGCGCATTCAGAGCCAGCGCATGTTCGAGCGTCGGAGCTTCTCCGTCACCGCCGGAGTACAGCACGGTCACATCACGCCTCCCAAGCCTGGAGAGGAGTGAGTCCCCCCCCCCCCCTTCTCTTCATGAATATCAACCTTCGATGAGAATCATTGCAAGGTACTAATGGTTCGCGCAGGATCAACATTTCTTTCATCGACAAGGACGGCGCAAAGTACGACTTCCAGGTCTCTGAGGGCGATAACTTGTTGGATATTGCACAGGCTAATGACCTGGAGATGGAAGGTTCGAATGACATTGAATGTTGTATATGCTTGATCAGCAGACTGACGGACTGGAACACAATAGGTGCCTGTGGCGGATCGTGTGCCTGCTCGACCTGCCATGTCATCGTCGAAGATCCCGACATGTTTGACAAGATGGAAGAGCCATCGGACGACGAGAACGACATGCTTGATCTGGCCTTTGGCTTGACGGAGACCTCCCGCCTGGGCTGTCAGGTCATCATGACTAAGGAGCTCGATGGCCTCGTGGTTCGGTTGCCGTCCATGACTCGGAACCTGCAGGCAAGCGACTTCGAGCCGAAGCACTGATCAATATAAGCGCGGTGGGAGTGATTTTTGGACAAGAGAATGATGTACGATATGTCTAGCGTCTATACGGGGGCGGTTCTGTCATGGGGTGGCAAGGGAACATGTTTCCATTGGGTATTTCCGATCTCCATTCAACATTTTGCGGCACGAAAGTTTGTAAATAGAGCATATCACTTTTAATAAAAAAAAAAGAGTTGATCAAAACAGAAAAAATAGGAACGTAAGAGTAGTCCCACCCCCCAAAAACGCCATGAATATGCCAGGTATACACACACACGTTTAAAGCAACTTCCTTCACCATCACTCAAGCCTCTTCGATCTGCAACGGCTTGCCCTTCTTTCCGCTGATCAAGTCCAAGAATCCCTGCTTGCTGACTTCGTTCACAGCCTTCTCGCGCTCGCCCATACCAACTGTGCCCTTCTTCCGCTCCGCCTTGGCTGCTTCCTCTCCACGGACCTGAGCGGCGCGGACAGCATTGAACAGCTTCACCACACCACGCTGGGCGATCTTGCGCAACCGCTTCTCCTCCTCGGCCACTGCGCCAGCCTGCCCGCGCTCCAATCCCATCACGTCGCGGATACGGCCACGATCCAACTCCTCCTTCTTCACCGCGCGCATCTTAGCCCGCGCCTGGCGATCCAGCTTCTCTTCCGCCACTTGAGTACTCTTCTGGGCGGCATCTCGGCTGCGGGACAGCACCGGGTCCTCGCGCATCGAGGAAGGGAGCTTGGTTGCCAAAATCTTGGCCATGGAGGTCGAGAACGCAGTAGGGTCATGGCGCTTAGGAACCGCCCGACCGCCTGCCGTTGAGGTGGGGTTGGAGGCATCGGACTCTGCACCCACGTCGAACTCATCGTCCTCCACTTCTTCCGAGTCGTCAGCATCCGAATCGGATGCCATATCTTCGTCGTCGGAGCTTTCCGCCTGTTTTTTCTTCAGCTGCTTCTTGGGGAGAGCCTTCTTGGTCGACTCGCCAATCGACCGGGTCTGCTTCCTGGATTGCTTCAAGGCTTCCTCCTCGGCATCGGAGTCGGCCAACCTGACGGCTTGGAAATCGGTGGGTTCGTCGTCATCATCTTCGGAGCTGCTGTGGTATGCGCGCTGCTTGCGGAACTTTTTCTGGGGGCGGGAGGCGATCGAGTCGAGGACTTTGCGCTTCTTGACGTAGGGGGCCATGGTGAGAGAATTGACACCGTAATGTCGGTCTCTCCTGTGTATAAAATTTGGGAGACTGTGGTGGAGATTGGGGGTTAAAATCGGTCGGTTTTCTTTCTTTTCTGTCGTTTTCCCGGGAAATTTTTGGAGGGTTAGCGGGCGGTGAGATACAAAGAGGCGGTGATTGGTGGGGTAGGCTCTCCGCATCGCGTTGGCCTCAAATGCCCTCTGGCAGTGGAGTCAAACGCCATCCAAACTAACTTGCCTCCAGCTGTCTTCATATTTCCGTTGTCATCTCCCCAGTCGCTCCGGGCTATTCTCCTGATATTTTCGAGAGGATCTTACTGTGCGACTTGCTACGAACATTTCAATCTTCACTTCCATTGAAACTCCCATCCCACCATGGTCCTTCAGGATCTTGGGCGGCGAATTAATGCCGCCGTCAATGACCTGACTCGGTCTAACAATCTGGACGAGAAGGTGTGTGGCTTTCCTGCCGTGCAACTCCTTCTCAGCTGCTGACTTCGTGATCGTAGGCTTTCGATGATATGCTCAAGGAGATCTGCGCAGCTCTGCTGTCCGCCGACGTCAACGTCCGCCTCGTCCAGACGCTCCGGAAGTCCATCAAGTCCAGCGTCAACTTCGCCTCCCTGCCACCCGCCGTGAACAAGAAGCGCCTGATCCAGAAAGCCGTCTTCGATGAACTGGTCGCCTTGGTGAACCCGCACGCGGAGCCGTTCCGCCCCAAGAAGGGCCGCTCCAACGTGATCATGTTCGTCGGTCTGCAGGGTGCTGGTAAAACGACCACCTGTACCAAATTGGCTCGCCACTACCAGATGCGCGGGTTCAAGACCGCCCTGGTCTGTGCCGATACCTTCCGTGCGGGTGCCTTCGACCAGCTGAAGCAGAATGCCACCAAGGCCAAGATCCCGTACTACGGTAGCCTGACGCAGACCGACCCCGCTGTCGTGGCCGCGGAGGGTGTCGCCAAGTTCAAGAAGGAGCGCTTTGAAATCATCATCGTGGATACCAGTGGTCGTCACAAGCAGGAGGAAGAACTGTTCACCGAAATGACCCAGATCCAGACCGCCGTCACCCCGGACCAAACCATCCTCGTCCTCGACAGCACCATCGGTCAAGCTGCTGAGGCCCAGTCCTCCGCGTTCAAGGCCACCGCCGATTTCGGTGCCATCATAATCACCAAGACGGACGGCCACGCGGCGGGTGGTGGTGCCATCTCGGCTGTCGCCGCCACGCACACCCCCATCATCTACCTCGGTACCGGTGAACATTTGATGGATCTGGAGCGGTTCGAGCCCAAGGCCTTCATCCAGAAGCTGCTGGGCATGGGTGATATGGCCGGCCTGGTCGAACACGTTCAGGCTGTCACCAAGGACTCCGCCTCGGCCAAGGAGACCTACAAGCACATCGCCGAGGGGATCTACACGCTGCGCGATTTCCGAGAGAACATCACCTCGATCATGAAGATGGGTCCGCTGTCCAAGCTCTCCGGCATGATCCCGGGTCTATCCAACCTGACCGCCGGTCTGGACGACGAGGACGGCTCGCTAAAGCTGCGCCGCATGATCTACATCTTTGACAGCATGACTGCCGTCGAGCTGGACGGCGACCCGAAGGTGTTCGTCGAGCAGCCCAGCCGCATGGTCCGCGTGGCTTGCGGCAGCGGTACCACCGTCCGCGAGGTCGAGGATCTTCTGTCTCAACATCGCATGATGGCCGGCATGGCCAAGCGCGTCGGCGGGCAAAAGAAACAGATGCAGCGCGCCCAGAACATGCTCAAGGGCGGAAACAAAGACCAGCTGGCCGCCATGCAGAAGCGCATGGCCGCCATGGGCGGGGCCGGCGGCGGCGGGTTCCCCGGTATGCCCGGCATGGGCGACATGGCCAAGATGATGCAGATGCTGCAGGGCCAGGGCGGCGGCGGCAGTAGCGGCGGCCTCCCGGGCATGGGTGGTATGGACTTGCAGAGCATGATGAGCCAGATGGGCGGGCTGATGGGTGGGATGGGTGGTATGGGCGGTGGTGGTGGTGGCCGAGGCCGTGGCCGGTGATCCTGCTGCAATCCCTCCCTCCTCATTCAACCCCATTCTTCGTTTTCCACTGGCTCCCATCCACCCACCCACCCTCTCCCTCAATTTCCTTCTATCCTCTTCGCCCCTTCTTGTCTATATCTGATCCTTTCTCGCTATTCTTCCTTTCATGACTCCGGATTGTTTTTCCCCCGCCGGAAGCCACGGCTTACTGCTGATGTCGATGTCGATTGTATTAGCATACTATGGTGTTGGGCGTGTTTCTTTTTTCTTGGTTTCCACCGGGTTGTTGATTCATTCCATCCCAATTTCATACCAAAATAATCTGATGATAGATGAGGCTTGCTTGCATTGACCAGATTGGGCTCGTAATCATGTATCTTGTACATCATCCCCGAAATAGCGGTAGATTGCTCACTCATATGGATTTCCAATCTATAACCTCCCAATCCAAGCCCTCTTCTGGCGAACTTCCAACTGCTGAACTCATCCCCAATTAGCATGGTTTGCGTTTGCCTAATAACCAGAAAATTCTTCTGCAAGATCATAGCTTCAAGAAGTAGCAACAACAGCAAACTCAATCCACCCGCTCTTTCTTCTGAATCACATCCAAAACATGATACACTACCTGCAAGACACCATCTCTGACCAAATCAACCGTCTCCTCTACTCGGCCCACCCATCCCTTCGCCCACGCGTCCCAGCTCTGCTCCTCCCTCGTGTCCAGCAGCAGCTTTCCCGGCGGCAGTCGCGGGTGTTTCCACGCCGCCGCCTCCGCGACCCGGCTCTCGTATCCGGGCAGGGGGACGCTGAGCTCGTACTGCCAGACCAGATGCGTATCGACATACATTGAATAGGTGAGCACGGAGCTCGGCACGGTGACGGAGTGTCCGGATCTGGTGGCGTCGACGACCGCCTCGTCCCGGACCTCGATGTCCACCAGGCCGTACTTGGTGTTCCCGTCGGGAATGTACTTGATGGTGACGTCGTCGCTGTCCGTCTGCCGGTAGGTGCGCACGGGTAGGTAGAACATGTTGAGGGGGCCGACGCAGAACTCGTGCAGACCTTCCCCGGCGGTGTTCGGCGTGAGCTCATTCGCGGGCAGATCGAGGGAGGGGTCCGGGAAGCGCGTGGCGCCGAATTCGTGGCGGTCGCCGCTGAGGAGGACGATGCGGATGCCGAGCTCGCGTTCGGCGCGCCAGATCGCCTCGAACACGCGGCGCCGCTCGTTCAGGAACCCGCCCCACGTGTCGGTCGTGCCGACCCGCCAGTTCTTGGTGAAGGGGACGCTGGACGCGATGAGCTTCCAGCGCACTTCGCTGGGTTCGGGGCGGGCGATGTACGCGAGGAGGGATTGGAGCTGGGCCGAGCCGAGGATCGTGGAGTTGTATTGCGACGGGGCCGATCGGTAGGTGCGGGTGTCGAGCATGAAAAAGGAGGCGGGGCCGTGGATGAAGGAGAAATAGGTCGTGTTCTCAGGCGTTGCGAAGGGAACGGGTGGGATGGGCGGATTGGGCCGGACATGGTAATGGATGTAGGGCTCGAACGCGGCGGGGTACGGTGCAGTGGTGTTGCCTTTCGACCAGTCATTCTCAATTTCGTGGTCATCGAGAGTGTGAATCCAAGGCAGGTCGATGGCAGGCGTGCTATCCTCTGGGCGGTTCCACGAGGGCGATGAGTAGACGCGGTGGTACTCGCTGCGATAGTGCGAGACGGATGACCCGAAGCGCTGAGGGACATCGACGTAAATGAAGTCGCCAAGGAACAGCATGAACGCTGGTCGCAGCAACGATGGCAGTCGATTGATTGTGTCCGTCATCATCTCGATTCCTGGGATGCGCAGTGGATGCGACAGCGGGTTGTAGGGAAAGTTCGCCTTCATGCAGCTTGAGGTGAGGAAGCTGAGGCGGTTTGCCTGTTTGGTGCCGGGCATCGGAGCAGTGACGAATGAGCCTGTAAGGTTGTTGGACAGGGAGTAGCGGTATGGTGACGACGGCTTCAGGCCTTTAATTGTCACTGTGGTCGTGTAGTCTGTTGACTTGTCTAGGGCATAGATCATGCCCTCTTCCGTCCATTGTGTCGAGTCCACTGTATCTGTTGGCTGGTAGAAGATGACAAGGGGCAACTGTGCAGGGTCGGGCTCGCGAACCAGTAGGTTGGCGGTCGTTGGTGAGACATAACCGATTCGAGAGAAGGTGACATCTGCGCTGGGGTACACTACCAGGCCACGCAGCATGAAATCCAGAGTGAGCAGTGCAAGCCCGATGTTGATGAGAACAGTCAACCGCGTCGAGCGTGGTAAGCTGGCGGACGGCAGGCCAGTGAACAACGTCTTGAGCACATGATCCCGATTTCGTGGTGTTGTGCGCTCTGATTGTGCGAGTCAGAAGGCCGCTGGCAATTTTGAATTGTGTGGTCACTCAACTTGTGGTTTTTGGAGATTCTTTAGTATTGCTGTCGGTGGGAGTACTCCGCTCAGTCGATCGAAGGAGCGATACGACAGCAGTGAGATACACAGCCAATGCTGTGAAGATCAGAGGCGGGAAGTGGTGTCCGGGGATCTAGGAGAATCACACAACGAATGAGTTGATGGATAATCTCGCAGCGAGGCCATGGCATCAACGAACCCAGCGGAGGAAGAAGAAGGCCGCAGCCCGGACCGTTGCGGAGCTCAAGGCAGCGGCAATCCGCGCGACAGACACCATGGTGCCGGGATGGATTTCGATGGTATTCAGCAGGTAGTAATCATTGCCAGGCCAGTAAGCTTTCCCAGGAGGTGAAATCTGCTGCTGTCCACGTCGCAGCTCGAAGAATAATGAATAATGGAAGGGCGTTGAGTGGTAGGTAGAGGAGGAGAAGCCGGCGGCGGCGGAGAAGTCGACGATGACGACATACCGAAGCACCTCTTCTCCCGTGACTGAACTGACGCTCGGACACGGAGAGACACCGTGCGTCTCTCCATCTCGATTCCATCAGCCAGCAGATCATTTTACGTGCAGCTATAAGCTTCCAGCGGAGCGATGGATACACATGTTTATAGTCATATTTTACTCTACAAGTCTCCCCGTCTATTGCCGTTGCATCATATCGCGAAGCACGTTCATCAGGCTGCTGGTCATTGGCCCTGAAGTGAGCTGGCGCGCTGCATCCACGAGATCTTTCATGTGCATACTCAGGGACATCTCCGCTGCCCAGTACCACGGATGCTCCTGTTCTCCGGGTTTCGAGTTGAAATATTCCCAGCCCATGACGCCCCCAAAATCAGGATATTGTTCAATCAGCATGGCCAGGATAGGTCCGATTTTTCCGGGGGGCACATAGCCCTGCGATCCATTGCCTGGATTGGTCAACAGTCCAAGCACCACCCGGCTTGGGGACCAGCCCTGTGCGACGATAGCAGCATACATCCGAGGGTCATCGGCGGGTCCCCACCCGTTGTAGAATTGCGTGTTGTACCAAGCGATCTTTGCGGCTCTCTGTTGTTCCAGCTCCCGGTAGTCGAACCCAGACAGGTTTCCCAGGCCCAGCATGGCAGCCGCAACTGGAGCCAGCGTCACAATGAAGTCGTCTCCCAGATCCAGCTTGAGTCGGTCAATAAGTCTGATGATCCCTGTCAACGACATTTCCTCTTCCACATCGAGATCTAGCCCGTCCAATCCATGGCGCCGGATCATGGCCAGCAAGGGTCGGTAGTACAGCTCAAATTTCTCTGAATCTCCATCTAGGGAGCGAAACGAGCCCTGCGCAGCGCCCCCGAGCATTCCCATGATGCGGACACCGTGTTGTTTCATGCGGGGCACCTCGGCCCATAGGGCGTCGTACATGCTGTGTTGTGGGGGGTCATTGTTCAGTGTAATGTGTTCCGGGTCTGCATTCAGGTGAAATGCTGCGAGGATGATGTGCGTCACGCCTGTGTTGTTCCGGACTAATGGCAGCATAGAGACATACTGGCCTCCATTGGGACAAAGAGTCTGATGGTACAAGATTACCCGACACCGGTCGGACGACGAAGGTACGGGAGGCATGGTCAGAGATGTGGCAGAGGGAGCGAGGCGCAGAGTGGTGTTCCACTATAGAACGCAGATCTCGAGCCTGGGGATAGCAGAAGAGGAGGGGGGAAGGGAAAGAAGGTCGCCGTGATCGGTCGGGTGAGGGGGAAATGGGGGGAAGCGAGCAGTGCTGGATTCGGCCGGCGACGGTCTGGAAGAAGAATAGCCCACCTTAACAGCCCCGCCGCCGGTGTAGGTAGCCAGAGCCCTTCATATATGGTATCTTGTGTCGACCATGACTGCTCCATGCTCCAAGATTAGAAGCGAAAGATAGGAACGAAGAGAATCACGCCGAAGAGGCTCAGAAGACACCCCCCAGTTGCGCAAAGAGCTGACACGTGATGCATTGCTCGTCATATCATTTGTAAGTTATAATACCGTACAATACAATACTCGAGCAGATGGTTGGAGGACAATTCCATTCTACGTTGATAGTTACCTGTCATGAGAGCACGATCTCTGCAGGTGTGACCCGGGAAATTCATTGTGACTCGCGATTTGCGGTATAGGAAATCATCTGTAATCGAGGTGCGATGTGATCAGCAGGCTCGCTGAGTGAAACTGCTGACAATCGCGGACATTATAATGTGAAGCCTGAATCGACAGGCAGAAAGGTCCCTGGTGCCTGACGATCGGTGTTTACCCGACCAGTTGGTGTTTGTTATCGCATCTTCCCCGGCGATAACTCACTCATTCATTCCTGCAACGACTCTGGCTTCACTTCTGCATTGTTGGTCTATGTAATAACTTCATCAAGCCATGATACCTCGGTGAACTTGGGGCCTGTTTTATTATTTCATCATATATTGATTGCCTCGATATCCTCGAGGACAATCCCACCCCCAGCATGGCCGATACGACCACCCACGACACTGTGGGCGCGTCAACTCTCGCGACGCCTCGCTTCATGCCCTCGTCTCCTCCTTCTCGTCGTCAGAACGCGCAGAGCTACTCTCCCCTCAGCGCGAAGAGCCCTCGTACTGTCGACCGCGGCGCGACCACAACCCACGCCGATGATGCCCGCTCTCCGCTAAAACAGAGTTACTCGCCGCGGTCCTCCCGAGCGTCGTCGCTCGAGCGCGCCGCGAACGACATCGACGCCCGCCTGGCGCAATACAGTGTCGACTTCAGCCAATACCCGAGTACCCAAGCACTGGACGACCATATGGATCCTCTTGCGGAATTCAAGTTTCCGCATGAAGACGATCTGTCGGAGGTCGGGGGTCCAGCGGATTTCACGGCGAATTTGGAGAAATACTTGATGGGCGACGGGGATACCATGGAGGATAAGCACTTCATGGACTTCCGGGATGATGGGCACGACCTGTCGGAGCTGGAGCCCCTGTTTGATGATCTGGAGGAGCAGGAACACGAGCTGCGCCACCTGGGAAAGGAGGAAGACGAAAACCCCCTGCCTCCGCTACCCGAATCCCCTGCCCAGCCGCGAGGCCACAGCAGGCAAAATAGCCAACGGATGCAGCAGCGGCAAGATACGCGACCGCCGCAGCGCGAGCAGAGTTCTCAATTGTATCAGCCTGCTATTGAGGATGAGCCCGAACCTGAACCCGAGCTTGGCGAATACAGCGAATTCGGCCCACCGATCGACATGTCCACACCATCGCAGTTTCTGCGCCGCGCCAGTGGCTTTAACAGGGATGCCACGCATCTGGAAAATATCGAAGAGGACCCGGACGATGAGATGGAAGCAAGCACGACTACCCCGTCAGTGCGGAGACACAAGACCCCTTCCCCTCACAAACAAGAACCAAGTACGGCTGGAGATCTACGGAAACAAATTCTTGAACTCGAAAACAAGCTTCAAGACCGTAATGAGCAGCTGGAGAAGGGTCGTCGGCGCGTACTGGAGGCAGCATCTGCTGGCGAGCAAATCAAGCACCTTCAGGGCGAGTTGCAGAGGAAGTCGGCTTTGTTGGACGAGTTCTACGCCAATCGCACTGACGAAACAATACTGCGGGAGCAAGTCCACATGCTCCAGAAACAAAACGAAGAAAGAGAGACCTTCTTGCACAAGTCCACCATCAATGCCTCCGAGCTAAGCGCTCTTCAGAAGCAGATTAACGATATGCAGAAGGAGCTGCAGAACCGTGGGTCATCACACCCGGATCTCGATGCAGAGCGGCTCGACACCATCGCATACTTGCGGCAGCAATTAGATCTAACCCAGGAACAGCTGCGTAAGCGCGATGCAACCCTGGACGAGACGATCGCGAAGCTCAAGGAAGTCACCGACGCCAAAGAGCAGCAGCTTCGAGAGAAGAACACTGAAGTCGATGACTTAAAAGCCCAAATCAGCAGTCACCTGCTCGAAATAGAGAAGCTAGACACGGAGCTCGAGAACGTCAATCAAGCCTACGAGACTCTAGAAGAACGAATCGTCACCCTCGAAACGAAGAATCGCCCCTTGGAGGAAAAAAACAGCACTCTCGAAGCCGACCTCACCCGCGCGCAGACCCAAGTTACCGCGCAGGAAAATGCGCTCAAGGCCATGGCCGCTGACCTCCCCCTCGAATCCGGCGGCAACACCTACACCGAAATTCTCGAACTGATCAAAGATCTGGGCCAACCCAGCCCGGGAAACCGGATTTCGAATCCAGGCTCATCAAGAAAAGGCCCGAGAGAACAGAGTCAAGACCAGAACCAGGATTATGACCCATCCCCGCACGAAGAGCTGAAACGCCTCCGAGACGAACTCTCCAAACTTCAGTCCGAACTCACCGAGGCCAACTCGGCCAAGAAAACGCTCGAACTGCAGCTCTCGCGCTCGGAGGACCAGGCCGCCGAAGCGCAAACCCTCATCCACTCCATCGAGACCGAAAGCACCCGCCTCGGCAAGCGCGCCGACGACCTCCGCTCGAACCTCACCAAGACCCAGCAGGAACTGACCCAGATGAAAGAGGAGCGCACCAAAGCCCTCGAAACCATCGACCGCCTGCAGAAGGAGCAACAACGCCACCAAGAAGACGAGAAGAAACAAACCCGGCAGCAACAGCTGCAGAACCAACAACTCAGCCCCCCGCCTTCCCCTCCCGTCCCGCAACAACAGCTGCAGCAACAACAACAACAACGTCAGAAGGAGCAAGAACTCCTCGAACAAACCCAGTCCGAACTCCGCACTCTGAAAGCGACCCATGCCGCAGAGCTCGCGCAACTCCGCGAGCGGCTGGCGGGCACGGAGCACCGGGAATCCCGGTACAAGGCGCAGGTGGGCTCGCTACGCGAGCAGCGCGAGCGGCTCCAGAGTGAGAACCGCGCCCTCCGCCTCCAGGTCGAGCATCTCGAGGCCGTGCTCGCGACGAAGGAGGAGACCGCCGCCGCGGTGGACGAGCGGATCGCGCGCTCGGTCGAGAAGCGCGAGAAGGAGTGGCAGCGGCGCGTCGAGCTCTTGCTCAAGGAGCGGGAGCGCATGGGTCGCGCGCTGATGTGGTCGTGGGGAGAGAAGGAAGTCGGTGGTGGTGGTGGTGGCAACAAGGAGAATCCTGCGGTGGGAGTGGACGAGAAGGGGAGGCGGAAACAGGGGTATCAGTATAAGTATGGCGGGTCGAGTCCAGGGCAGGTGTCAGCTTCGGTCCCGTCGTTGTCAAAGAACGATGGATCTGGGAAGAGAGCCTGAATGGACGATACGGGTGTGGATTGGATTGGATAGGGCTGGGTTAGGTTGGGTTCGGTTGGGTTCGGTTATAATGGCACGATGGGAATGGAATGCCTTCTATCACAGCTTCACGGGGTGCTTCATGGTTCGTGTTTACGGTGCTGGTTTCTCTTTTTGATAATCTTTTTTGCGTCCTTTTCTCCATTTTTTACTTCGCTTTCGCTATGATTCCCTGCTATCTTTGTGCTCAGGATGGGTTTTACGGTGTCATGAAAGGGCAACTTACGGTCAGAAATTAAGGAAGGGATTGCATCTCGCGTGTACAGACAAGAGTCGCCATGTTCTCAACTTCTGTTAGCAGAGCTGGATGGGCGCTCGGCTAAAGCAGATAAATCCGTTAATGTATTTGTTGCCATTCGTGCAAATCAAAGAATTAGGCATGGTATTTTTAATTGTCTCAAATCGTGGTATAACAAATCAGCAGCAAATACAATTGAGGGTCGTGAGCTTCAGAAGTACGAAGACGAGAAAAGGTTTGGAAAGACCGGTGGATACAAAATGTATATGGAGAATCGAAAATTAGAGAGGCGGTGGCCCTTGGATGAGAATGGACAGCCTGTCCCGCAGGCTCTAGTGTCCAGTGACACTATTCGTTCGAGTCGTGTCGCGATAAGCATTTGTTTCAGACAGGTAGCTCTCCGGGGCTTCGTCAACAGATGTGCCCGTTTCACGGATACTGTCTAGCCTGCTGGGCGCAGAAGCGAGACCGCCATATGTATTGCTGCGTGGACGGCGCAGGTTTGAGTAGGTCAGTTCAGCGTCGCTTCCACGGGATGACGAAGACACGCGGCGGTTGTGTTCTTGGTACCATCGGCGACCGTAGTGATTCTGATGAGGCTGGTGCTGGCTTTGGGTATGCCGCGGAATTTGGGAGGAATCGAACTGATACACCTGACTCTGTCGTCGGTTGCTCCGTCTGGAATTCTGCCGGCTGGCCGCCTCACGATCAATCGGTACACCTCTGTAGCTAGAGGCCTGGGCAAGGCCTGGGCGCGCTGTTGGGTGCGGAGGGATTACGGTGAAAGCTCCCTGGTACGGTATATATCCGCTCCTGGGAACAGGAGCCGTATGCGCAGTGTTGGACCGGCGGACATTCAATGGTTCTGGCACGAGGACTTCGGGAGCATCGGCTGAGTTCATGGTCACAGATCGTGTGAGGGCTCTTGCTCGCAGCTGATTTGCTTCGAGTGTGGGAGCTTCGGCTGTAATGGCTGGCAAAGGTTTTTCCACAGGAGCTGAGGCCAGTGGATGTCCAGGGGCATACTCTTTCTTCGGGGTTGGTGGGCGTCCAGCCATCAAGGCTTCTTTTTCGACATCTGCTTCAGTAGTCGCGTCGGCAAGCGCACGTATTTGAGGGTCTGCTGACAATGGTTGTGAGAATAATTTGGGCAGCAGCCGGCGCAAAGACGACGCGGAGGATTTTTGCCGCTTGTGTCCGAAAGTGGAAGGCGATGCCCCTGGTAACTCTACCGGAGCCGTTTGCTTAGAACGGTCACCATAAGAGCTAAATGTTGTCGCGGTGGGCGTGCGCGAAACGCACGAGAGGAGATCCGAGCTAGTCATCACGCCCGGCAACTTCCTCGTAAGAGTTTCCTGCGGTGAAAGGGTAGTACCCGATAGCAAATCGGTTGTATCCGAGTCATACTCCGCCTCGAACCCTGGGTGGGATTTGTGGTGGACAATGTTCGGGTATTCAATGCTTGCGGACATCGGGATGGTGTTATCACTTGATGACATATAGAGCCCTCGGCCATATGTGATGTCGGGGCGCCGACACACATGATAGATGTCATTCTTCAGGCTATTGTCACTTTCTGTGCTCCAGCTGCTGAGGATGCTGTCATCGCAGATTGAAAATGAAGACTGGCGTGTATACATGCCCAGTAGTGAGACCTCATATGGGCGTCCGCAGGTTTGTCTGAAGCCAAAGAAGAGAAACAATGTTATACTGCAGCTTGATCAGTAAATGTAACCACAAGCGAAGTTGGGACATAGCATACACTGAAACAACCGAGTCGATAATGGACGCACGATAAAGGGCACAGCTTACGCCCATCTTCCAGAAACTGCCGTTGCCTTCCTCGGCTAGACACGGGAGATGTTGCGATATAACCACCAGGCCTGTAGCGACGGCGGCTATGGAGATCACAATTGCAACCCCCAACACCCAGCTACAAACGATCCGCAGCATGGCCTTTTGGCTTGTAAACCTTGCTACTTTGTTGTACTGCCAGGCAAGGAAGCTGTGTAGGACGACAAGCGGCACAATGAAGAAGGACTATTTCCCGGTTTTAGCGTTCATCATTCAAGAGAGTGCTTTCAGACTTACTGCTGCTAGAGCGAGTATCAGACTGGGAGTCATTTTCGCATCCACATGTCGTTCAACATAAAGGTAGATCACAATCCCCCATTCGATGAGAGACTCGAGCAGTAAGGCGTACAGAGAGACGAAGATCGCTCGTTTCACCCACGCGCCTTCTGCGCTGGCAGATACGTAGTGGTTAAACATGGCTGGGTTCGTGGTTAGAGCAGCAGCAGGCTGCGATGCACAGCTTCAACACGTCGAGGCAATCAAGCTTGGACATTCACGCATTGATAGGCACCTAAGAGTCAATGCGATCAGATCAGCTCTAGCAGCACATCAGGCGACAGGTGCCGACAGGTGTGAAAGAAATTCAACCACCAGGCGAAAGTCCACTTAAGATATTAAGATAGGGCTACGGCGAACTAAATGGGGAGAAAATGGTAAACATCTGGCGCGTCGACGCGGAGCGAAGAGGGGTCGGAATGGATGGGCAGTCGGTATGTCCATGTCCGATCAGATGGAGGGGAGCAGCTAGATTGCAAGAAGACTGCCTCTGGCCTCTCTTTGGGTAGAAGAGACAATAGTCTCATCGTGTGGAATGTAGACTAAGAAGAGTCCGGCCGAGAAGGGAGGGCGGTTCCTGTACTGAACTAACTGGACTCCAGCAGAAGCTGTCCATGATTAGTCATTACATTTTTCAGGAGCTTCAGGGTCTATCGTGAGTTAGTTCAATGAAGGTTACAAGTCATCAAGATCCAAGATCGAGCGTAGACATCGTCAACCCCTTCGTATGCGCAGGATTACATCACCTGGCTCTACACAGACAACCCTGCGAATGATACTGTTATCGTCATCGCGTGTGGGTTAAGTGATCGATAGGTAAAAACTGGTAGAGATTGAGACAGGGACAATGAGACAACCTCGATCTCTTGAATGAAGGATGGGAAACAGAATCTAGGGCCGTTCGCCGGGGATGTTCTAGGGATGTGAAGAAGAGGATGGATTGCGAGGGAGCCGGGAGAGGGAGAGAAGTAGCGGAGGGAAAGAGCTTGGCACGTGATGCGTAAGAAGGGGGAGGGCAAGGGCTTGCTGTGCTGCTCAGGCACTCAGGCTAGTATCCAGCAACTGTTTCTTTTTCTTATCATTGATTTGCCATTCACGCATTCTATCAAGAACTGAGGGAGAAAAGGGGGAGGTTGGGAGGATGGATGGCTGCAAGGGCAAACGGAATTCCATGCCACCAGCAGCTTTCTGAAGAACTATGGATGTTTTAATTCCGCGTAGAATGAGTCCCTTGGATCAGCGTATTGGCTTTAGATCATCGAACAGATCACTAGATAGATACTCTCTCTTGTCACATCAGGGATGTATGTAGCCTGTACTGTAACTCTTCCGGAGACTGCTTATCTTATCGCATCGAACAGCAGTCAACCAGCCAGACCATTCATCTACACCTTCTTGCAACAGGACTCCAATCTCGGAGCTGAATTAGCCATCGTCGGAACGTGATCAATTCCTGTGGGGCTCAAGACAATTGCAAGGTGCAGCTTAGAAGGAGGGGTAATTTATCTGCTACTAATTACTGTGCACTACAGAGTACTGTAGGTTCAGGTTGCTCCCGATAAGATATGATATAATGAGGTTCGAGACCGATAACAGCCGACAGATACAGCCGTCATCTACAACCATTACGAGAGAGGCTCGACAGTACAAATATGCTCGACAAACCGCTCGGAATACTTTGGGTGCGATTAGCAATTGTCAGACACGGCAAGATAGTGGATCGTTGATCATATCCCGCTACAGGTGGGCCATGCATTCGATCTCCACGTCTGTTTTCAAAGCAGGGTCTTGACAGCCACGCAGCGGTGTTGTTGGGTTGTCTCCATGATGCCACCAGCTCGCAGCTCGAGAAGGAAGTTGTCGGTCGAAGCCCACTGGGCACATCCGACAAGGCTTCGGATTGCTGTATGGTTCATTTCGGTCAAATTGTCCATGTTGGAGAGGCATGGGGTGAACAGCTGGCTCGTATCAGTGAGGAGAGAGACCCTGATAAAAACCGGCTTGTGTTTTCACCCCCGCTCTTGCTCTACTCCTCTCTGGCTCCCTTGCGTTCGAAATTGCAACCTTCATGCAACCACGAGCTTGCTGTCCATCAAGATAAGTGGAAGCATTAAGTATTTATAAAGTTCGTCTTATTCCCCCGCCAACTTCCACGCGTCTAGTGCATGTACCCTTTTCCCAAGCACTCGTCATAACGTATTCACAATGTCCATCAGTCATAGCCCGGCCGACCACCCACCCTACCCTCTCCATGCCTCCGTGATAAACAAGCTCGACCCAGAATATGTGGATTTCTATAATACGCATGTAATCAACAAACAACAAGTTCATCTCCAACCGGTGGAGGCTTCTCGTACAAGCGGTGTCCTGATCCCCGGCGGAGGTCCTTTGCTCCCCGTCGGGAGAACAGTCGACCTGCGCATTGGTCGCCGTGTCACAGAGGGACCTGAAATCCCGTTGCGCGCTTTTATCCCTGAAGGCACAGCACCAGCGAGCGGATGGCCGCTGATGTTGTATTACCACGGAGGCGGATGGGTGCTGGGCAACATCGATACGGAGAATCCGGTGTGCACCAACCTCTGTAACCGAGGTCGGTGCGTAGTAGTGACTGTCGACTATCGGTAAGCATTTATGTGTCCAATGCAGAGAGAATCGCACCCTGACTGACCCTCTAGTCTCGCTCCCGAGCATCGCTGGCCCGCCGCCGTCCATGATTGCTGGGAAGCCCTTCTCTGGCTGCTGGCCGACGGTCCGACACATCTCCCCATTGACATTCAGACTCTCGCAACAGGAGGCTCCTCCGCAGGCGGAAACCTAGCCTGCATCATCACCCAAAAGGCTCTTACACTCTCACCGCCCGTTCATTTCAAGGCTCAGTTACTGTCCGTGCCGGTGACCGACAACACCGCCTCCGTATCTACCAACGACGCCTACCGCGAGTACGAACACACCCCGGCTCTACCAGCAGCCAAGATGCTCTGGTACCGCGAACACTACCTGCCGAATCAGAAAGATTGGGCGCACCCGGAGGCCAGTCCGCTGTTCTACACTGGAGATTGGTCTGCTTTGCCGAGAGCCTTGGTCATGGTGGGTGAATTGGATGTGCTAAGGACGGAGGGCGAGCAGTATGCGCAGAAGCTACAGGAGGCAGGCGTGCCGGTGGACTTGCAGATAATGAAGGGCATGCCCCATCCGTTTTTGGCCATGGACGCTGTTCTGAAGGAGGGGAAAAGGTCCATCACATTGATGTGCGACCTGTTGAAGGAGGTTTTCTGGAATGAGCACAAGTAGGCATCGGCTAGTCTTGTTGTACCTAGCCCCGTTTCACTGTCAAATAGACTCTTCATATTAGAAATCTCCGCCAAGATCTAGCATTGATGAATGGACATGTTCACGCTGCGAGTCTTCTACATTACCTGGGATGGTGCCACATGAAACAACATGCAATATGTTGGGCACAGTTTCATGTCTTTTCGTGTGGGTTACTAAGATCTCCAGAGACTATCCGTCAGATCATGGATCATAGGGACCACGACTTACGTTCCTTTGAGACTCCTGTGTCGCCTGTCTTAAGTCCGACCAATCGCTAAATAGCATTTGTGTTCCACGCAATCTAGTTTCGCCGTCTAAAACCCTTCCCAACTGGTGCAATAGGGATTGCTCCACGCGGTTGTGCGTGTATCATCAGTGTTGCTTGTGCTAAAGTGGGAACAGGCGTAACTTCCAATTACTAGCTGCACCTGAACATCCTTATATGCAGGTTCTGTCCCACCTTCGTGGCAAAGAACTGTTAATGCGTGAACCAGGCCAATCTCGGGGCCGGAGTCCTTAATCTCTCGGACTTTCGGGATCGTCAAACCTGAGGTTACATCTGAAAGGTATGGATGGTGTTTGCTCAATGGTGTGACTGGTATGCATGAACAAAGAATGCTGGGAATACCCGTTAGATGCCTCAAGTACAATCTCTGGGATCGACATGGACATCGATCAGCAGAAGTCGTGTTGGTTCCTCACGATCGGCTACACGTAATGATAACTCGGAGAGACCCTCGAGCACAATAGGATCCCACTGGTTTCCGAAGTTGAAGACAAGTCAAATTCCAGAGTCATATCTGTACCCCCTCATTGGAGACAAAACACATCAGCATGAGTATCCCTTGCATCCTGATGCAAACATTTGTGGGTTCGGCTATTGCACATCAGAGCGCTGACATATCGTGCCTCTATACTCAGACACCACGTCGGATTTTTCGTTGCTTTTTCGATCTTAATACAGTCTCCAGGCTCACTGTTCTGTACCGCAACCCCCCTTGGCCGGGGGCACTTCTTCACTTCCGTAGATAATGACCGACCTCGGCATACCGGCAAGTGGAAGCTGCGGCCAGTGAAGTAATTGATAGTCAGCCTTTTACTCTTTTTGTATGGTGCTGGAGAGCTCAATTGGGCTCAAATTTTAGTATCCCCACTCAGTAAATATGGTATAGGAAATGGCAGCGGAAATTGCTCCCCGGGCAGCCACAGTGGCTTCGGTTGTTGCACCCGAATCCAGCTTCTGTCCAACGTACGACGTAGACTAGTACACTTCTAGTACGGCGGATGATCTCCGGTCCCTTTTTGCTGTTGTGCTAGAGCAAATAGTACGGTGCTGGGGCTCCTGAGGTGAGTGAAAGGCTTTGGCTGTGGAGCCTTGGGACTCAGCGTTTGTTTAAGGGGAATGAGGGTCTCCTAGATCACAAAGAAGCAGAAGCCCACTCCAAATTTGTGGGCATGATTACAAGCGCATCGAATGGGGCAAATGTACATGCGCCAGGATTGGTGGCACAAATTCAAAGCAAAGGTGCTCAGTATACAGAGTCGGCGGGAGTAGCGGTCATATCGGCCGTGTCAGTCCATCGCTGCTGGGAGTGACACTGCAGGCTACTGGCGAAAACTTCTTCAGGGGCACCGGTCAGTTGATATTTCGGCCTGGTGCGAGGCAATAATATATTCTTGATGTGTGTCTGTGCAGATGTAATCTCCTCATCGATGCAGCCACCGTAACAGTTGAGTGCGACTGGATATCACGGCGCGAGGTCGGGTATTTCGCAGGAATCAGTCGAGGTTAGCGCTGGGACTTGATTGCACTAGTTCATTGCACTATCCGCCGCACGATCCAGTAGGGCTGGGCGAGAAGGACCCTCTCTAATTAATCGGGAATGGGGCCGTGTGAAAGCCTGAAAGTGAAAGGCGATTGTTAGTGACTTAGTCTGGTCATGGTGTAGGTCTGTGGGCGGTGTTCGTTCGGTGCCCACTCTGGATCGGGGCCTAGCGCCGCTGGTTCTGGTTAAGCTAACATAGCCGAAGTATGACTAGCAAAGTTAGACAGAAGGAGGCGAGGAGGGGTTTTCCTGCTCGTGTCTTCGACTGTTGCAAGGAGTAAACCCGGCTCAAGATACGCGCATTGTGAATCCCCATTGACTGTTCAAGTCTGAGGGACGTTTTAGTCTCTCTACATGTTGTTGATCGGAGTTTCTCTGACAGCGAATATCAACGGCCACCAGGGTGGTGTCGATCGGATGATCCGGTGATCTCCGGACATCGTCCGGCTCAGGGGCAGATCGTTTCCACGGATCACGTCAGGACCGAGCTTTTAGGCAAAAGTCAAGACTCAACAGTCGACAGATGACTGATAATTCGGTAACTGTAAGTGTACGGATGTTACCGCTATTCCAGTTGGGTCTTCGTATAAATTTCTAAGCCTCCCAAAGACGGTGGACACCAAACCGGATGCGGCGGAGGGTCCGCGTAGTTTTGCACGGATGGAGGCTGACTACTAGACTAGTTGCTTAGCATTTTGGTATCTATTATCGAACCGCTGTCATTGGTGTGCCTGAGTCAGAATTGGCCGACCTCGCTTCCCTCACTAGGCCTATTCCAGTAACTGCCACATGGACCCGTGACCCAGGCTAGTCCTATTTTGAAAAGCACTTCTCCAGGCTAGTATTCATCTGGACTTCTGGAGACTTGAGATCAAGACTTCCCTCCAACCTCCAACCATCCTATACGCTAACGACTGCCACTATCCACAGGGTCCATACGCCACTTACCCTCGCATTGCTCGCTCGCTTCCAAACCAATTTCCCTTTTCCCTGTCATCCCAGGTCATGTCTTTAGCGGCAATACAACTATCCGCCGCTCACAGGAGCCACTCCTTTTCTCATACGTACAGTACAGGCGTTGGCGACGAGCTATGATTGAATCCATCATGGATTGCTCCAACCACAAATGGATCTCAGCGAACTAGCGCTAGATACCGTGGAAACCCTCAGCTCTTACCCATCTGCCCCTCCTTGGGCTCTTACAACTTACTGTGTACATAGCACATGGGGACTAAGATGATGGAAACTCTCCGCTTGAGGCTTGAGAAATGGTAAGTCGGCGTTGCTTGGCTCTCCTCGCCCACTTTTTCCAGAGGCTAATATGGCCGAAAAAGTTAGACACCTATGCGGCTCTACAGGCAAGTACTGCGGAAGTGCAGTCTGTTGCCTGCTGCTGCCTTGACCATCATGTTCGGTCTATTTTCCGGCTACACCACACGGCATCCATCCGTTTTCCCCGACGGAGTTTGCCTGGGTCAAGATTTTTTTTAGTTTTATTCCATTCCCTTGCAAAGGGACCTAGGGGTTAGGCGTGGCCGTTAGTCTCCCAAAGAAGGTGCCAACTAGCATAGCCCATAAGCACTGAAGACCGAACTAGGACCTCTCAAGCAGGCAGTCCAGGCATGTGGTTGCACCCGCCAAGGCGTTGACTCCGCATGCTAATTTCGGCTGTGTTCGTGCGATGAACAGTTTACCAGCATCGTGGCCAATGGCGAACCAGACATAGCCTAGAAAGCTGTCGCAGGAGGCTAAGGTCCAGAGCAAGCTCGCACTTATAACTCTACCTCGCCTTGCCCTTTCCCCCTTCTTGAGATGTTCTTCGTGTCATCCCTCTCTATCTACTTTTGCGGGGACCATCCAAGCAGCGGACTTTTGTCTGCGTCCTTTCTTTGAACCAATCCGACCTTCATTTCTACTGGTTTGAGCGGCTCTCTGGTCTCCACCAGTCGACATTCTTTCACCATGGTGTCCCAACTTGTCACCGTCCTCGCTGCTGTATCAGCTGTCACTCCTTTTGTTTCTGCTTTCGATCCTCAATCGAGGTCGAATGTTGCTGTCTACTATGTATGTGCCTCTACATAATTGGAAATGGTACAGATTCCTTACCGTTGAAAATAGGGCCAAGGAACCGATCAGCAACGTCTGAGCCATTTCTGCCAAGATACATCCTTGGATATCATCAACCTTGGTTTCGTCAATATCTTTCCTGACCAAGGCGTTGCCGGTTGGCCAGGAAGCAATTTCGGCAATCAGTGCGATGGCACCTACTACACGGTTGGCAACCTAACAACAGAGCTGCTCAAAGGTTGCCACCAGCTAGTGGAAGACATTCCTATCTGCCAGGCTGCGGGCAAGAAAGTGTTCCTGTCTTTGGGTGGTGCTTACCCCGCCACTCAGCAAATTCTATCAGAGGATTCTGCCAATAACTTCGCCGACTTCCTATGGGGTGCCTTTGGCCCCAAGACCGACGATTGGGTGTCCAACAATGGTCCTCGCCCTTTTGGTGATGTTGTCGTGGATGGTTTCGACTTTGACATTGAGCACAATGGCGATTACGGTAAGCTTCTTAAGGCTTCGCAATCTTCAGAGCTCACTTCTAATGTTCCAAGGTTACGCAACAATGGTCAACCGACTGAGATATCACTACTCCTTACAGGAAGGTCGTGACTTCTATATCTCGGGTGCGCCTCAATGCTCGATCCCTGACAAGCAACTTGACAACGCGATTGCCAACGCCCACTTCGACTTTATTTGGGTGCAGTTCTATAATACTCAGGGCTGCTCCGCCCGTGACTACGTCGAAGGCACGGTAGATGGGTTCAACTTTGACAAATGGGTGGATGTCATCAAAGCAGGAGGCAATCCGGACGCTAAGCTATATGTCGGATTGCCTGGCAGCACGAGTGCTGCCGCCAGCTCCGATTACTACATTACCCCCGTGGAGGCCTATGCGCTGGTTGCCGAGTATATGGCGCGCTTTCCAGACACCTTTGGTGGTATCATGGTTTGGGAAGCGACGTATTCGGACGAGAATAAATTCGGCGACGAATCATTCGCCGACGTGATGAAGCAGATTGTCTTGACTCTTGACCCTACTCCTCCTCAGACAAGCACTGCTGTACCCTCTAGCAGCACGCCTACGCCATCCCCCTCATACACTGCCACAAGCACACCTGCGGTGTCCACTCTTTCTGTCTCGCCCATTGCTTCCACGGTGTCTACTCCTTCCACGGTGTCTACTCCTTCGGCGGTGTCTAATCCTTCGGCGGTGTCTACTCCTTCGGCGGTGTCTACCCCTTCGGCTGTGTCTACTCCTTCGGCTGTCTCTACTCCTTCGGTTGTCTCTACTCCTACGGCTGTCTCTACTCCCTCGGCAGTGTCTACTTCCACTGTGGCCTCTAGCACGTCCACGATTTCAAGCCATTCTGTGGTCTCAAGCCCTCCGGCGGTGTCTACTTCTTCTGTGGTGTCTAGTGCCCCCGTGGTGTCTAACTCTGTTAGCTCGGGATCTTCTGCCCTGTCGAGCATTGCTTCTGTTGTTTCGAGCTCATCTGCGGTGTCCAGCAGCCCTGTGGTTTCCAGTGCTTCTGTTGTAACAAGCAGCTCTGCCGTTGTCAGCACGGGCGTGAGCACCCCTGTGGTGTCGGTCAGTTCTGTGGTGCCTAGCTCTTCCGTGGTCTCTACACCACCTACAGTATCAGGTCCCTCCGGTTCATTCAGCTCCCCTGTGGTGCCCAACACCCCCTTGGCACCTAGCTCTTCTGTGGCTACCAGCTCCTCCGTGGTCTCCAGCTCACCGATCACCTCTATTATACCCGTTATTACAACCAAGTTTGTGCCCTCTAGCTCGCCTGTGATTCCTAGCTCCTCTGTTGCATCAAGTTCGTCTCTGGCTTCTAGCCCTCTTGTTGTGACAAGCCGTCCTGTCGTCTCTAGTGTGCCTGGCGCGTCCAGCGCGTCCTCCAGCTCGATTTTGGTCTCCGGTCCCGTTGTCGCCATATCGTCTTTGGCTACCAGCTCTCATAGCTCCTCTGTGGTGAGCCCTCCTGCGGTGTCTAGTTTCTCTGTGGTCACGAGCAGACCTGTCATTCCCGGGCCATCCTCTTCAATCATTGCTACTCCAGGCTTTTCCGAGACATTGAGCTCTTCCATCATTCCCAGTGCATCCGGCCAGGTGTCCCCTGGTGCGCCACAACTGTCTACTGCATCGCTGGTCTTGAGCTCCCCGGTTTCTTCTACGGGCTCACCTGTCACCTCGGGGGTCTCTGTGCCTTCGAGCTTGGTTATCGGGGCTTCTAGCATCGTGGCTTCTGCTTCCTCTGGTGTGGAGACTACCATTCCTAATAGTCAATCTCTCTCTTCGGGCTCCGTTGTGGATTCCGTCACGTCGTCAATTTCAGTCGTCGCGTCTGGGACCGGCACCTTCACCGGCCCGTCCATCGGACCCAGCACAGCTGCTTCGACGGTATCGACAGTGCAGCCCGGGGGCTCTGTTCCATCGGTCTCAGGAACGATCCCAAGCTCGGTTCTCTCTAACACTCAATTGGTGTCGACCGCTTCGCACGCCGGCACTACATCGGGCACGGAGTCTTCCTCGAGCGCAGGTGCAACCAGTATTCCTATCTCCGGTAGCGATGCGTCCTCGTCCGCGAATCCAGGAAACCCCCATGGGTCTGGTGTTACGAGCTCCACGGCGAGCGCAAACACTTTGACGGTCCCAAATCAGTCTGGCCAAGGAAGCACGGCTTCTTCGTCGGGCACAACTCACGCTGTCAGCAATGTTTCAGACCAGACAGGCAAGCCAACAGCAGTGCCCATCAGTGCTACATCCACTGATAGTGCTGCTTTTACTGTCATTACCCCAGGTATCACTGCTGGCCCTGGAGCCACTTCTGTGTCTTCCGCCGGATCTGCGCTGGAACCAGCGACTACGACCACAATTATTGTAACCTCGTACATTGATATCTGTCCCGAGGGCTTTACGACCATCACTACGACTTACACGACCACCTACTGTCCTGTCACGGCTGCTGCCGCTGCCACTGCTACTGCTACTGCCCCCGCCACAGTCCCTGGCGTCTCAGGTTCTCCAGGTGCTGACACAGCCATTACCCCCGTCAGGGTGACTGGCGCTTCAGCCTCCCAGGCTTCTACCACGACTGTTGAAATCCCCGAGGGATGGACCACGACGGTCACGGTCTGCACACACTGTGCTGCGACACCGACTACAGTCACTCTGACTCGGCCAGTTATCACCTCTTCATCGGAGCAGACATCACCGACCGCTGTCTCAGGTTCCCTGTCTGGCTGGACAACCACGGTTTCTGTCTGTACCGAGTGCGGGCCGACGCCGACTACGGTGACTATCACAGTGCCTGTAAGCACTGTCGTAGCGGCGACAGGCACCCGCCCTGGCAATCCTGAGGGTGTCGATGCTGTCCGTGGAGGGTCCACGGGGCTTGGTGCATCTTCGACCTCTGTGAATGTGATCCCTCACTTCACATCCACTGCTCTTGTATCTCCAAGTCAGGCACCTCCCAGCCAACCTGGAACTGCGGGAGCCGCAGATGTTCGCCCTTCGTCGACACTCCTCGTTCAGCCCTCTGCGAGTGGCCTATCCGGATCGGTGGTACCTAGCCATACACAAGAGGGTGTATCGCCAGTGTTCACTGGTGCAGCTCCTCGATTGGCTGCCTTCAAACATGGGGCTGGGGCTCTCAGCACCCTTGCCCTGCTTCTGCTGACTACCTTGTAAAGAGCTCTTTTCTCTTGAGTCTCTACTCTTTTCTCTTCTCATATCCTGTATAACCTCTCACATTGTGGCGAGGTATACTGCTTCACATTACCCATTATCGGTTTGAAATGAATGACCAACGATGTCCGATGTACCAACATTTAATATTGTCGCATCAACGCAAAGATCTCTTGGGCGTGCCTTCTGCTCTCTCTTGTTTCATACGCAATGAACCTATTCAATAAATCATGATCCTTTAACCCACATAACCAAATCCGCCCCCTACCACCGAGTATAGAAGCGAGCCAAGCAGTGAGCCAAGACGGCTCAAGCCGGACTTACGGGCCTGATTCCAGCGACCCGGGAGGCTACGATCGCCTGATACGTAGTCAATGGGGTAATGGTAGCATACCGATTTCCAGGTTGGTCTCACTCTCGCGTGGTCTGACCAGGGGTTGTTGGGGTTGGATTGGAAAATGAACGGAACTGGTTCCTAAGGTTCGCCGGCCTAGCTTGAAGAAGCATCCAGCACGGTCCTGCCACGGTCCTGCCACGGTCAGCGCTGGTGGGCTGCTTACTTGCATTGGCGTGCTGCCGAGGTACTTTTGGCCCCTCGAGGCATGCTCAAATGATAGGCGACGGAACGCTCCCGAGTCGGTCGACGCGCTAGTGAGTGGTTGCTGATTGGAGATGGTTAAACTGGTCTGGTATTACGGGAAATTATGATCAGGCTGTGTCGCGTATTGAAAACACGTATGTGTGTTTGTTTTTTGGTTTGAGCGATGGATTGACTGGAGATGGTGTGGCTGTTTGATCGAGGTGGGATAGTTCCGTGTCTGGTGTTCCGTAGAGGACGGGATATATAGCCTTGAGCAGACGGTTGACATTGATCACATCCACTGCAAGGGCTCGACCACCGAAAGCGAACACAGGTTATATAGCAGTAAGAAAGGAAGCGAGCGTGATTAAAGTCAACCGAAACATGCCTGTCTGAGTTGAAGATGATAATGAACAATTTGAGAGCAGACAAGCTGAGGGGTAAAAAGAGGGTGGGTAGTAGAAAAGAAAAACAAAAAAGAAATTCTTAGCATGTCCTGGTTTCGATCCAGGGTCCTCCGGGTTATGAGCCCGGCGCTCTTCCCCTGAGCTAACATGCTTGGTGGATGAAATTAGAGTCTAAAATAGATATCATAAAGCATTCAAAACAAACAGCCAGCTATGGGTTACACATACTCACCTCCTCTTCACTCCCTTCTCTCCTCTCTCCTCTTCCCCACCTTCCGGACCTCGGCCTCGGCTGCGGAGAAGATGTAGTGAATGGCCCTCCATTAATGCTTGCTCGCTACATCTTACATCCCATATCTGCCCGAAAATACTAGGCGCATATCTTGCCCGAGTCTCCTCGAATTCGAAACCCCACGCGGTCGATTAGAGTGATAACCCCAAGAGTTGCTACTGTCTTACCATGTCCGCATCCTCATCTACGCCGCTGGCGGGAATCCGGGTAGTTGAGCTGGCGGGCCTAGCTCCTGGTTCGTCCCATACCATACCTCTATCTCGGTCCCTCCCCTCTGCCCACTGACCCTCGTATACCAGGTCCATTCGCCGGTCTACTCCTCGCCGACTACGGCGCATCTGTTTTACGGATTGATCGACCCCAGGCTTCAAGCTCGGACCAATTGACCCGCCACAAGACGTCCATCCCTTTAGATCTCCGCGATGCTGCCTCCCATAGAGTTCTCCTCTCCATTCTGGCAACGGCCGATGTCCTGATCGACCCCTTCCGCCCGGGAGTTTTGGAGCGCCTTGGCCTTGACCCCTCGGGCGTCCTGCTGAAACACAACCCGCGTTTGATCGTAGCACGGTTGACGGGGTTCCGGCGCGATGGGAGATATAAGGACATGGCTGGACATGACATTAATTACATTGCCGTGTCCGGGGTGTTGTCCATGCTTGGCCGGTCCAATGAGCGACCCTACGCCCCCGGTAACCTTGTAGGTGACTTTGCCGGCGGCGGGGCGACCTGTTTCCAGGGTATACTTCTGGCGCTGTTGTCGCGGGAGTGGACCGGCCGCGGTCAGATCGTCGAGGCTAACATGGTCGATGGCTCCGCGTATCTGGCCTCGTTCCCTCGACTGGGCCGCCAGACGCCCATATGGGATGCCCCGCGCGGCCAGAATATACTGGATGGGGGGAGTCCATTCTACGACACCTACGAAACCAAGGACGCGGGCCAGTATTTCGCGGTGGGGGCTCTCGAGCCACAATTCTACGAGGCTCTCCTGAAAGGGCTCGGGTTCGATCCCGAGGAGCTGCCACCGCGAGACAATAAGGACAATTGGCCGGCACTGCGTGTTGCGTTCGCCAAGCGTTTCCAGGAAAAGACGCGAGCTGAGTGGGAGACCGTATTCGACGGGACCGATGCCTGCGCCACGCCCGTGTTGGACCCGGATGAGCTGCAGGCGGGTGGCTACGAGCTACGCCCCGTGGTGCATCTCGCCGATACCCCGGGACTACCCATCCCGACCGACGATGGAGGGTGGACAGGCGGTGGTCTGATACCCGGGACCGGAGGACAAGAGACCTTGAAGACATGGTTGGGTTGGGAACAAGGCCGGGATTATGATGTCAGGCCCGACGGGGCTTTTGTGCGGCTTGAAGATGGAGAATCGAAGCTGTGAGTGTGGAATGAGGTATTTTAAGATGTCTTATCAATTTTTACTCACGCGGGCTGTGGTACTGACAATCAATGATGCGTTGATCTATTGTAAGGATCAGATTGTGTTTTGTTTTTGTTTTTCTTGAGGGTGGGGTTTGTACGCCAGATAAATTGAGTGAGCGTAGGGCTGACCGTCGGCTTCCCCGGCGATAATCGCATTGTTGGCTGTTGCAGCAGCTTCGTTCCGTTGTACTCAGTAGTACGGTAACCATGGGGCGTGGGAAAAGTCTCCCTCGTTCGATGCGCGATTTGAGTCAATCAATTTATCGATTCCCATAGCGGGTATCTCCGATCGAGGCCGCATCATACATAGTAGAATCCGTCGTTATGAATGTCTACTTTTGGCGTACTCATTCATGTATATTAACAAATCTACCTAGTATGACTGCTGCAAGACCGTTGTCGCGTGGCTCCATTGCCGGATGCGATTGGGAGCAATGCAGCAAAGATACGGTTCGGTGGCCAGCTGAATGTGACCCTCAGTCCGGAGTAACTAATTTAGGCTACTCACTTACTGGAATGTAACGCCGGTGGGGTCAACGAAGAAAGACACTTCCGTTTCCATCGGCTTTTCTATGGCGACAGTATCTAGTGCTCATTATTCCGGGGTTCTCTCGGCTTCTTCTGTTGACAAACAATTAGACAATCCATGATTCCACCAGATGGCAAAGAATGATCCAATAAATGGAGGCTGTCTGAAATGATTGTTCGAGTTGCCAAAGAATGACGGCATATCACGACTTTACTTCTCATGGTCTTTCAGTAGTCAAGAGAGGTGGTAAGAATGTACTATGTATGTACGTAAGGTAGTCATGAATGAGGCTACACAAATCCATCAGATAAACATGGTTGACAAGTGTTGATCAGGGCGATCCGAATAATCCCATCGAAGATTTCCCCGCCTGTGCAACCTTACTCGCAGTACCCAAGATGAGTTGGTAACTGATCATGGTCATAGTCACGTCACCATTCAATACACAATTACACTGCGGAACTCGTCTCCGACCCATATCCCAGCAGCCTTGTGTACGGTACCTTTCTTTACCGGTATTCCGGATGAAACAGGCGGAGAGTTAGGGTCACAACGGTGAGTGGGAATGGGAATGGGAATGGATGAATGAATGAATCAATGAATCAATGAATGGGAAAAGTGGGCACCTGAAAAACTGGAGAGAAGAGAACAAACATGGGACCATTTGTAGCATTATTATTCAATTGATTATGGACTCTAGTCTACTGCTCTAATTACAGTAAGCAAGTCAGTAAGTGCTCCCAGCCGACATTTGGATGTCCATGCGGGAGCGCCTCCATGGATGTAACCATACCAACAGAATAGTGCAGCATTGATCCATGACGGACTGAGATACTGAGATGAGAGTCTGAGTAGGACTGACTCTCTCCGTGAAACCCCTCTCCATCTCCAGTCAACCATGGGGAAGAAATCTTCACTCCCGGCCTTCCGAGTGTTTCAGTAGTGGAGTCAGGGACGTCATTCATTTGCCCCGAATCTGGGTAGTTGTGCATCTGAAGCTTGGGTCGACCATCCGGTTCCTAGCATCGACTACTACCGTACATGTACTTTACGAGCAAAGGCGACGGTATCTTCCGTAGATTGCCAGGTCAGGTATTCTGTCCGGTATGTCTGGTATTGCGGTTGTACTGTACTAACAATGTATGGAGTACCAAGTACACAAAAGTCAAGATAGAATCCCGCTTGCGTCCCCACGTGCGGGTTGTGGCGCAGTCAAATTTTCTTTACTACACTCACTCTTAGAACTCTGCAATCTCGTTTGTCGTCGTCTGAAACAATAGAATGGAGACAGAAAGAAAGGGGATCTATAGCTCTTGCAAGACCAATGAAAGAGATTCAACCAAGGCCCCATATCTGCAAAGATTGAAAGAAAGAGCAACTGCCCAAAGACAGCCGTGGGTTGATCTGTGGCTGTGTCGGTACTTATCAGCAGAGACTAGGAAATTACGAGGTACGAGGAGGCTCAGGTATCGAATCGTATTCGGTACCGCCGTCACACTGGGGCTTTTCTCTCTTTTCCTCTGTTTCTCTCATCTTCCCCGATCGATCATCGCCTCGTTATTATTCACTCTCTTTTACTCTCCTCGTTTCCCATCCAATCTTTCGGAGTCTTTCTTTTTCCTCTAGCCTTTCACTTCTCGACTCTCACTCTCCCTCCCCGGTCTATATATCTCATTTCGACTTCAATCTCCCCTCCCGTGCTGCCCCTGGCTGATCCTCGCCCTACTTCGAATCCAGTGAAACCCCCCTCGTCCTTCGTGTGTGTTGCAATTGTTGGCGGTTGTAAAGATTGCTTTCTTTGCTCTCACTGTCATAAAACATCAACTAGTGCCGTCGACCGTTCAATCGATGTCCCCTGCAGGTGTGACTTGGTGAAATTGGGTACCCGCCAGGCCTCGTGTGCACGAAGTGGCGGAAGGAAAGCCAGCTTGTCTGTCTGGCTTGTCTGTCTGGTTGCTTAAGCACCGCTCTTTTTGCCAAACTCATTTTCTTCATTCATCCTTCGCACGTACACTCTCACCACTTCTCCCCAAGCGCCTCTCGAGTCTTGGTAGATTCCCTCTTAAGGCCTATCGCCGATACCACATCCTACTGTATCGGGTCAGCCGCTCTGTCTCCCTCTTTCGCGTCCCCTCCCGGATTCCGTTGCCTGTCCGGTACAACGACGGAGCCGCCGGTCGCCGCACTTCGCATCTTCACCGGCAGATTGCACTTGTCGGCTGTCTCACTTTTCGTCCTCACGAGACTGTTTTTCACCCCGACTCTGCCTTGTTGATCGGAGTGGTGAATCGTTTCTTCCCCATCACCCGCCTTGCTTGTGTTTTGGGCAACAACACCAACCCTTCGCTCCGATCTTGCGGATACCGTCCGATAGGAGTCGCCAGATGGCCGGTGTGCAGCTTCAACAACCCAGCATGACTGATTACCGTCTGCCGATCCATCAACCGCCGCCGGCTCGGAAGCCGGTCGCGGGGATGCAATCTGGATTTCCCTACCAGTCCTACGAAGGGGCCCACCACCACCAGCTTGCCCCTCACCCGTCTACCGCCGCCATCGCGCACAACCGTCGACGAACATCCTCCTCTCACGTTTTCCCCTACACGGGCCAGCAGCAGCAGCACTCTACTGGTCCCTCCCCACACCATTCCATGACGGCCGCGGCCCCCTATCCACCTTCGAGACGCCTATCCAGTGCAACCACCTCCACTAGCTCCACCGGCAATAATCCGAATATGTACTATAGTGGTAATGTGTCGGACATCCGTCGAAGCACATCATCGCGCTCGGCCAACGCCCAGCTGGGATACGTCGCCTTGATGCGGAGGCAGAAGGCGACTGTTTGGTGTGACCGGGCCCAGCCAGAAGACCCGCGACTGCGGGCTCAGAAATTGGTGGATAAAAAGCGGGCATACCTGGAAGTCCATGGCGCAGGCGCCGGGCGTACGGGTACCCTGGGAAGCGGCAAGAACAAGCACGGCGCTAAAGGGGGCACTGACTTTTCACCCTCGGCGCTTGTCGGTGCAACGGTTCCAGTTCGTCTGAGTGCCAACGAAGTGGGCGATGCCGACGAGGATGCCCACAGCGATCGTGGATTCCCGTATCGCCGCACCGGCAGTGGCCGCAGTTCGCTCGGAAGCAACTCGCGCTATCCAAGTGGGTATCAGCGAAGCACGGTGGGTAGCAGCGGCTCTCCATCGAACGAGATGAGCGACTTGCCCGACGTTTCCGAGCACCCACGAGCAGAAACTGCCGAAGCCGAGCCAGAACATGCTTCCATCAAGGACAACGCCTCTTTGAATAGCTTAGGCAGTGAACCAGAAGATAAATTCGGCACCCTGGCAGATATGGCTGCCCCCAGCGCCGCACAAGCCGCCATCGAGAAGGCCAAGAAGGCGGATGAGCTGAGGCGCCGGGGCAGTGTGGACGACAGGACCACATCAATGACCAATGTCCGACTCTTTGTTGCGAACCCGGATTTGAGTGATTAAGATGCATTTTCGCTGCGCGCTTGGGATATTCTTGGATTTACCATGCCACGTCTCTATCTACCTTCGAACGCCACATTTTTCCTTTTCGAACCTCTTCCTTCCTGCAGTCCTGCCTCGCATTCGATGGCCGGGTATCTAGGCTTTGTGCCAGAGCCTCGGGCCCGAATGTTATAATGGCTGGGTCACAATTCTGATTGTTTTGTTCCTTCAAGTTCACTTTTGTATTGCACACTTGTTCTATTCCCCTGACAGCATGTTATTGGCGCTTTTCTCTCTCCTTTTCTGTGTCGTACGGATTGCGTACGGCCGATGGGTGCGATTGTTCCGCACCCATGTGCCTCATGGATTTATGAGTAATCATAGTAATAAATTAATACTCATGTACATATGGCAGCCGTTGTTTGTAGTAAGAGTGGCATATACTTGGAACGGGTCTTCCTGCTACCCTACTTTTGAGACACCGCAGTGACGTTTTTCCAGTAAAGTAGTGTAAGATCAAAATTCTTAGACTGAGTGAGAGCCCAAATATCATGGATGGCATCAAGGTGATGAAAGTGAGGCCTCGATGACGGTTGATGATGTTGATGATTAGGGGCTTACATAAGCGCTTACACGTGCCGAACGCGAATTTCCGTCGCGCAACATCAATTAACGCGTTTCAGGCAATCTGGTCAGGACGGGACACTCGCCAAGCTTCCCACTCCTCCGGCTCAATCCTCGCACAGGACAGAGACAGTCTGTGAGTGTAAGAGAGAGGGAGAGGTTCATCTTGCCTCGTTTTATCCGAGGCAAATTCCCCGTGTGTGTGCGCGTTACAACTCCCATCACTTTTACCCCCACCTTACACCAACCTCACACCGACTGCAACCCCATGAGCCCTGGCCCTGGCTCTGCTGGCATATTGCAGCTGTAATCTCCACCTTTAAAATCGGTGAGTCGGGCCATCAAGTCAATTGCAAAGGAGTAAGGAAGGATATCAACTAACAATATCTGGGGATATGTCCTTTGGTCGCGTCGCCTAGTGATGTTCACGTTCTTTCCATATTAACCGATTGCTGCACCCCAACCGGACGATACGATTCCTCATACCTTGTTCACACATTCGCACCTGCCCGGTAATATAATTAAACCACGACTCACATTGACCTCCGCATAATCTTAGCCAAGATTCCCTTATTGTTACTATAAGGGTCTCGCAAGAAGCGATGTCGACCACCACAATGGATGCCTCCAGTCCGGTGCCCCCGAGCCTGAAACCGACTCCCCCTCCACCTTCCGCGCTCGCCTCGACTCCTGCCACCAGCAATACCGCCGCTATAAATAACCACGGTCACCGCTCACCGTTACCTCCGAACACATTCCCTTCGATCATGTCTACATCTCCCAACAGCACGCGCAAACGTTCAATACAAGATGATGAGATGGGCGGGATGGACACAGAAACTGGCGGGATGGTCGTCAATGAATCGAGCATGGACATCGATACCGAGACGACCGAAGAGAGCGCAGGTGCTGGCGCAGGAGACCGTACCGGCGTCTCCATGCAACAGCCTACGATGACAGGTACTTCGGCTACGTCTACGCCTGACGATGATAAAGAGAATCAGGATGCCCTGCGGGCTCATCTTCAGAAGGTGGCTGGCTCGGACGGCGAGATCGGTGCTGCTCTGCCTTCCCCCGACGGCGAAGGCAACTCGAGTGTCCGGTCTGCACGAAGTGCTGCGGTTTCCCCCGCTCCGTCGTCGGATATTGCGCACGCTGGCTTGTCTGCTGCAAGCGACGGGGCTGGGTCGTTTACGGTGCCAGCGGCCAAGAAGAGGAAGCTTTCGCCCACCAGCAAGGACACTAAGCAACAGGAGAAGGAGGCCAAGGAGCGGCAGAAGCAGCAAGAGAAGGCGCGGAAGGTGGAGGAGAAGGAAGTCAAGGAGCGGCAGAGGATAGAAGAAAAGGCGAGGAAGGACGAGGAAAAGCGCAAACGTGAGGCCGAACGCGAAGAAGAGAAGCGAGCCAAAGACGAAGAACGGAAGAAGCGCGACGCCGAGAAGGAGGAGGAGCGGAAGCGGAAGGAGGAAAAGCGAAAGGTGAAGGAGGAGGAGAAGGCCGCAAAGGAGGAAGAGAAGAGGAAGAAGGAGGAGGAGAAGTCGAAGAAGGAGAGAGTGAGTAAATTGCTACGCCGCCCTTTCAGGGGTAAGGTTCCTACGTCAAAGTCCTCACTTCTAACCGCATTGAAAGTCACAAACGAAGCTGAATTCTTTCTTCGCCAAACCCAAACCCGTCATTGCCTCCTCGACTTCCAATTCGACCACCAACAAAACCATCTCACCCTCACCTCAGAGAACGACCGGCGCTGGCGCTGCTACCGAATCCCTCCATGACCCGGCTCCCTCCGCTGTATCTGACTACCAGCGCGATTTCCCTGATTTCTTCTTGCAGTCGCACACCAAAGTTGCGCCGCCCCATCAGTTCCAGCGTGATGCCAAAGCTCTTCATCATACCCAAGAACAGGTAGACGCCTACCTGAAATCCAACGCCACCGACCTGCCTTCCGCATTTCGTCCCTCCGAGATATTCAACCTCATCCCGTACAGACGCCGGTGTGGGAGGTTGCCTGCCTCCGTTAAGGAAATCCTAATTCAGATGCAGAATCTGGCCGACCAGGCCGGACCTTCCGAGGATGCCCAGAGAAAGCCGCGGGAGCTGCTGCGGCAAGTCACAATGAAATCCTTTAGGTTTGGGGAAGATGTGCGTCCACCCTATCAGGGTACATTTACCAAGCGTCTACCCGAGGCAGCTGCCCATCGGCTGATGCGCAACCCTTTCCGCCGAGGATTACCAGAGACCAATTACGACTATGATTCAGAGGCCGAATGGGAGGAGCCCGAAGAAGGCGAGGAGCTCGACTCGGAGGAAGAGGATGAGATGAGCGAGGATGGTGAGGACGACATGGATGGGTTCCTGGATGACGAGGATGACCACCTGATTGACGGCAAACGACGCCTCATCGTGGGCGACCTAGAACCTGTCAGCACCGGCATTCGATGGCAGGAACAAGGCGTGGACTCCGAGCTGCAGATGTACAAATTGGAAACGATTTCCGACTCGGTGCCTTTCCCCATCGATCCGTTCTCCACCGTGTACTGGCAAAAACCTAAGCCTGCAGATTCCGTGCCGGGCGCTGCGGGTCTGGGGCGGTCGACGCTGCATACCTTCATGGGCCAGGCGGTCTCTGGCTCCCACAAGGGCTCCCCTGGAGGAGGATCGACGGCGGACGGGGGCGCTTTAGCGGTGGTGGCAGCGGGACGAACAAAACAGCGGACGTTTCCGGCAGAGCAGCTGGGTGAGTTCAAGCAGGTGGTGGATGGCAGTGATCTGACCAAGCTGGGATTGCTTGAAATCTTGAAGAAACGGTAAGACGTGGGCCCACATGTTGACTTGTCTCTGAAGAAAACGGAAGGCTAATCTCCAGGGTTGTCTTGCGATAGGTTCCCGAAGGTCTCGAAGGACGTTCTGAAAGACACGCTGAACAGCGTGGCCACGCGAGTAGGACATAAGGAGGCTGACAAGAAATGGGTCTGTAAATAGAGGCAGACGAGGCAAAGCAGCGAGATGGGGGGAAGACAACGCATACAAGGGCGACATCATCCATCCCCCTTACCCCAGGGGATCAATTGAGCTAATCTATTGGCCATCGGCAAGAACCTGCGCCCCTCTTCTTTCTACATATCAATATTCATATTTATATTCATTTTCACCATTCTTTCTATTTTTCCTCGTGTCGTGTCATTCTTATCATGCTCACCCCTGCTATTGTGTCCCATGTCCTAAACATGACTGTGTTCGTCCGAGGCTGCCGTGGTGAAGAGAGAAATGGATGATGGAGTTTCCAAACAATACCTGAGTTGAAGTACAAGGATTCTTAAGGCAGTCTGTGCTCTTGTTGGTCTGGCATTTTCTCTTTCAAATCTGATTTTCTGCCTGCCCTCCAATATAATCGATGCATTATTTATAGAGAAGGGGGCGACTCTAGTTGGGGACGAGATTGCTTGTCGTTGGATGTCCTGTACGCCGGAAAAGTACATGTCCTGGATGTATGTGGTGCGATCCGTACAGCAGGTATGTACCATTGTACAGTACCCAAGAAGATGGAAAACTGGTGGGGGGAGAAGCGGATATCCACTCCACTCTTAGCTCCAATTGTTGTGGTGGTCTGCCAGCGAAGCTAGTGGCATAACCTAAATCTGTTTGACAGCCGGCGGAGCAGGACATACAGATACACCAAAATGATCAATCGGTGAATTGTCCATTGAGGCTTGAAACATACAACGTATAGATCTGCTGGATGTTAAATGAGATGGAGTGGTAAGCGCCCGGGATAGCCTGAGTAAAACTTTGTATGTACAGTACCTGCACCTAAGTAAAGTAACATAGTGGTACCACCGTACCAGGTCACTAATGACAACACATCACCCATTGAACCCACTACGTCTGACTAACCCGAGCAGTGGTGGTTGAACACGTGCAAAGAGTGGGGATTATTGCTCATGTACTACTGTACCACTAAACGGGATCCGGCTAAGCGCAGTCACCATGCCAGCTGAACAGTTCGTTCTGGTCAGTTTTCCGGCTCTCTTCTCTTGCCTTTTCGACTGTCTTCCTGTCTTGTCTGGTTGCTTCCTGTCTGACTGGCAAGTTGCAATACGCACACACACCAATCAATCACCTATCAAAATAACTAAGCTGATCGGTTTCAGCTCCGATCCCCCCTCCCTCCCCCAAATTCTGCAATACTTGCCAACGCAGTAAGGGGGAGGGGAGAGGGGGTTGACCAACAAATCACACTAGCGAAGAAGAGCGAGGAGGAGAGGGGGGGGGGGGGGGGTTTGACGGGTTTTACCCCCTCCATGCATGCATGCATGCATGCGTTGCCAACACATCAAGAAATGGATCTCTCTCTCTCTCTTTTGCCCCCCTCATCATCCCCCCCACCTATCTAGCCTTAGGTATGCTGTTCATGCTTGGATCCTTGACTTCTCGTGAGCTCGTTCGCTCGGGACTTGGCTTTAGTGAGTGGAGGACAAGGAGAGATCTTGGTTTTGAGGGGGCAGAAGAGAGCAGCAGGTCGGAATGAATTGTTTCTGGTTAATAATTGTTGTATCAAGCCTGTATCAACCCCCCCCCCCCCCTCGAGGACTCGCGGACTAGCGACGGGGGTATGGATCAGACGGACAATTACCTGCAAGACCACATCCGACTCTTCACTGAGGGAGGGTGAGATGACGCTGATATATGAGTATGTGTGGGTAAGATAACTAAATTATGAGTCGGTAGTTATTCTACGGAGTGGCTAGTAAGACTGCTGCGAACGAAGTAGAGTAACGCGGAGTAGAGTATAAGTTACCTCTTGAGTAAAATAGTCTGGGACAGGTACCCGGGAGGTACCGCTTGCCCGCCTGGACCCCCGGCAAGGTACCGTGTCTGGACTCCCACCGGGCCTTGGTTTTTTTTTTTTTCTTTTTCTTTTTTAAATAATTAATTGTTTTTGCACTTTTTATTTTGTCTGCATCATCATCAGCAAGTAAGTAGCTGGAGGGATCATGATTAGTTATTCTCTATTTTCCTGCCCCCCTCCCTCCTCCTCTGGGTTGCTGCTGCATGTGTCCGATTCGAGTCACCACCGCAGTCTTTGGCTATTTCTCCGTTTGATGTATAGTCCTGGGCGTACCTGGAAGGGACAAAAACGACGGAGAAGAAAGAAAGAAAGAAAGAAAGAAAGAAAGAAAGAAAGAAAGAAAGAGAAGAGGGAAGGACGACAGAATTTACTGTCCTTCTTGCTCCTGTAGTTATTATTTGCTAGTCTGCCAGAAGTTAGCCTGACGTACTCCGTAGTAATGCTAGTTAGTCCCCTCTATGGTTGGGAATGTCCCCCACAAATTATTAATTATGAGTTAGTTGTTATTCTCTTCTTCCTCTTCTTCATCATCATCATCTGCTACTGTGTGACTTATAATTCTTCTACCGGACCTAGTAGTACTCTAAACTAATCCGGGTTTGCTTGATTTGCTGGCATCCACTAAACCCACTAAACTTTGCTGCTGCTGTTCTACTGCTGCCGCCGCCGTCGCTGTTGTTGTTGTCTCTGCTTCCACTTATTCCACTTCTTTTGCTCTTCCTCTCTCTGTCTTCATTCCCTCTTCTTCCTTTTGTTCCCCTCCTCTCCTCGTCTGTCTACGGCTGGCCTTCGCTGCAAGTCATATCTCATTCTTCCGCCCACAGCCCGGTCGGCCAGTTGTCCCTCTTCTTCCCCGCTCCTTTCGTCTATCGTCCGGACCAAGTCGGAGTTTATTATCCTGCCCATCGCCATTTCACCCTTTCAGTCAATACTAAGATCAGCCTCTCACACTGCGACTTTGCGCCATTCGACAGATATATCTACGTTTCTCTTACCTGGACACCGCTTTCGCATTCCTCGAAGATTTGTGGACCCGATAGACAGGAATCCTCCGTCATTATTGGGATATACTCTACCTTACCCTCTGGTTAATTAGTCTTCGATACACTAATCAACTAAACCCAGTCAATTGATCACTGACTGACTGAATGAGCACGGCCATCTTCACCTTACTATCTTCCGGCTATAACTATTGACCTACCCTTCTGCCGATTACACATCCAGTGGTTCTTACATTCGATTGGGATCCCATACCTACATTATATTGCTATCCTGAACCAACGACCTCTCCACATCCATCACTCTCCTTCCATCTTCTTCCCCTTTCCTTTCCGATCTTTTCAGCTCAACCTGGAGCGCGCCATCGTGTCTACTATTCAGCAGCTCCAGCTTCCGCACTTAACCCATGAGGACCACCGTCCACCATTCACCACAACTCTAGGGAAATCATGCGATAGGAAGGAAGATATCCACGCCAAGGGCGCCTTGCGACCTCGACCGTCTTCCTCGTGGCTATTTGGCCGGGAACCTGCCCATGGCAACACCACAATGTCCGATGCCCAAGTCGATGGTCGTCCATCAACCCTGGCGTATGTGACCTGTAAGTCCGCAGATTGCTTTTTTCCTTCCGCCCCTTCTGTGAAATTTCCCGCAAATCCATCCTCCTTCGCCTGATCACGCCGCTCGAGTCGCCTAGCTTCATGCAGCCAAAAAGCAGACAATTTATCAGTGCCTTTGAACATTCGCTGACAACTCTTCCTTGCCCTTCGTGCCCCAGGCTTGATTCCTTCGTCCATTCAAGTAACCTCACCATGTGAGGTTGCGCCTCGATCTTCCACTCCCGCTGTGACTGCAACTTCGCCCCCCTTGCGGGCTTCTTCAGACTCGATGACGCATTGTATCGAAGGTGAGTCTGGCAATTTGAGCTGCTCAAGCTCGCAACGCCTTGTCTCGGCCGATTACACCCTGGATGGACCTCAGGACACCCAGCGCTCTACCCAAGCCGTGGAACAATCCAAGATTACCTTTGAGGACCTGGCCAGTCAATACCGTCAGAATCAGCATAAACAAGCCAGTCGAAAGCGACTCGAAGGCCGCTTACATGCCACTAAAATCGCTGTGGGTGTTTCCGCTCGCTTGATCCGTGTCGGAGCTGCTGCCCAAAGAGCGCTGGTCGACCGGCTCCGCCACGATGACAAGGGAAATTTCATTACTATTTATCAAACTCTCGTTGATCTTCAGGAGTCCTGCGATGCGACATTTCAGCGACATTTCCAGCGGCAGGATCCGCTGGACGGATGGCCGCATACTCGGGAGTCGGTTGTCGACCGTCCTCCGGACTTCTTCCTCCAGCTGAGCCCTCAATCCAGGACTGATTTGCTTGACATTTTACATTTGGTCCGCACCGATCCACAATTTGTGTTTGACAAACTGCGGGTCTTGACTCCGACCCAACGGGCAGCCCTTGTCTCGTCCACTGGTGCCCCTTGGGAATCTGGTAGTGATCTATCGTCCTCGGCAGCATCCCGGTCCCGGTCCCATGGGATGAAGCGCAGCTCGGCCGCTTCTCTTCCGTACAAGGACCGTACTCTGGCATTTGAACGCAAAGATGCCCTCTCAATATTGCTCTTCAATGTTTTCGCGACCCCTCTGGATTCCGATGCCGCGGAAGCACGATTACGTTTGGATGTCTGGTCTTCCGTTTGTGCGAAGCTTCTGATCCAGGACGGGAATAGGCATGGTGCTCTTATTCCCTACATCTTGACTGCCTGGGCCACGGGAAGTGAGTGGAAGGCGAAACCGAAGTTCGAACTCTATCTCATGGATATGTTACAAGCCGGCGCATTCCTTCTGGAGCATGTAGAACCCCCGCCAGGCTTGGATTTGGATGTGGAACCGCCTGATCCTTTACGAACAGATGTGGCCGAGGAGTTCTTTGCTTCTGCAGTAGATGCGTTGTTCAAACTCCTGGATGACCCAGATGGAGGGTTTCCACAAGCCGTGATGCAACTAAGCTGCGCTATATTACAGAAACTAGAACATCGAGATGACCGTAACCGGTTTCTCGAGTTGTTGTTCGTTCAATGGTTCTTCGCCAAATTCTTATACGGCGCACTCACTTTCCCAGAGGTATGAAGACACCCCGAGCAAGCATGAGACAGAACTACCCCGCTGACTGGTGTCCAGGCACATGGTCTTCTCCTTGATTTCCATGTGCGTAACGATGCTCGCGAGAAACTTCTCGGACAGGTGGGCCTTCGTGCGTATTCTCAAGTCTACGCCATACTACGCTCCATGTCAGTATCCAGCCCTTCCTGTAGTCAAACTCAAAGCTTTTGAAAAACATATCATCTAACCAGTCTTTGTTCAACAGGCACCACTATTCGATGGTCCGCCTTACTGTCAGACGTCGGGTGGAAAGCATGCTCAGCCGCTTCCAACCTGAATTCCTGGGCAAGGACTCCGACCCAGCACAATCGACTCGCAAGTACTCGAGTGGGCAGCAATCACCTGCCGGGTCTATAATGCTTTCTGGTGCCGATGTTCTTACATTACTGAATACGCTTTACCCTAGGTCATCCACCTCAATGAGCGGTTCTCCAATATCGTCTTCCGGGGTCTCTGTCTCTCCAAGTGTTGCCTCTATTTTCTCAGAAAGACCGACGACTGCTGTGGCGGAGCCCGGGTTTTTCAAACCCGTCGAACCCTTTTCCAGGCATGCGACCCAGGGCCAGAGTCTGCTTGCCTCCGCCATTAACTTTCTCTCAAATGCCGAGGAGAGTATTAATCACAATGCCGACAGGATTCGGTTTGAGTTGTCTGAAATGTGTGGGCCCGATGGCCGGGCTATTCTGGAACCTCCGGCCGCGGAAGAATGGGCTGTTTTTTCGATCTCCAAGCACGGCAAATTGGCATGGGGACTATTTGCTGACGACTGTCAGACTTCACTCTTGGACAGTACCTTTGCTGAAGATGCTCAATCCGCCGCCCTAGAGTCGGAAGACAACCTTGAAGCTCTACAGACGGCTATTGTGAAATTGATCCAGGAAAGTCCTGCCGACGACGGTGTTGATGTCGACTTACGCCATTTCAAAAGTCTTTCCATGGCAGATAGTACATCGCTCAAGCAACGCTTCAACAGGGCGATGCAGCACTGCCACCACGAATCCGACTTCATTGGTGCCCATTACTGGTGGAATGCGGGCCGCCAGCTTCTTCACAGCGTCGCAAGTTCTCCTATCAGACTTGCAGATGACACATGGATCCTTGAGCCAATGTACACTTCCTGCACCCGCTCCCTCCAGACGTCACGGGCCGTGGTCGAACGTTGTGAAACCGAGTTCGCGGCTCTTCACAGACAGACCCGGCGATTGCAGAAACTGGTTAAAGATATGATGACCACCGTGGCTGGGCTTCGCGACAAGATGTGGTACATGACGGATGTGAAAAATTCGATGAGGTATGAGGATGCCAAAAACGTTGCTTTGGCTCTGAAGACGATGATCTATTCCGCTCGTCCGCATAAGCAAACGCCATATGAGGGCCGTTCCCGTGGTAACGCGAGATCATTTGGCAGCTCGTTCCTCCAAAAGCCGGAGCTGCAGGTCATGAACATCATGAAAGCGCCGAGCAGTCAAGGTGGCCCTAACAAGCTCTCAGATGAGCAGGTGGATTTGATCCGCAAATGGCTATCCCATAACAATATAGACAACTTCTGCAAAGGCGAAGAGCGCATCC